GAGTTATCTTGTTGTGTTATTCTCGCATCACATGCTATTTGTGTGCTATTTGATCTCCTTCTGATCTTGTCTTCCTACTCCTCCTCTCCCTCCCTCTCTCTCTCCCTCCTCTTCCTCCCTCCCTCTCCCTCCTCTTCCCCCCTCCCTCTCTCTCTCTCTCTCTCTCTCTCTCTCTCTCTCTCTCTCTCTCTCTCTCTCTCCATTCGTGGCTATCCCTGTTCGTCTCTCTGTTTTTACCAAGGCCACTCCTTTGTGTGAGCGTCTCGAGTCGTAAGGCTGCAAGTGCGCTGCTCACACACACACACACGCACGCCCTTCCTACAGCGTCCCCCCCCGCCTTCCCCCTCCCCTATATGCATGTGCTCCACGCTTCCGGACGACATCTTCGTTTGCCGTTTTCGATGCTTTTAGGCTCCATCTTTTGGGATGTTAAGTCGAAGGGGACCACGGAAGTCGCAGGGCGAAACATGCTAGGTTGCCTTTTCTTCCTCGCAACGCAGATCGTCTTTAGCCCCCTGGACTGCCTCTCACTCTTTGTAGATGACAGGGAGCTCTTCAATAGGTGCGTGAGGCTTATACGCCGCAAGCGGGAGTTCGAAACGGCAACACTTGCCTCCTAAAAGGGACAGTAGCGGGAAGGGCGCACAGCTGCAGCGTCGGTGGCAGTGGTGGCATCTGGACCACTGCTTTTCACCCTGCTGCTTCCACACAGAAAATCGATTAAGGGGCTTTAATTAGATTCTTCTTCCCGCGAGAGGCAAGCTTGAAATGCGACATCCCCCTGCTTGCTGCTGCGACACTGTAGGGACACTGCGAACGGAACATACACTCCATTCGCCTACTTCATGGCAAAGTCTATAGCGTCGCTGCCCTTTCAGCATCTGCCTCTTACCACCGTTCTCGTGTTGTCGTATTGGATGGTTGGTAAGAGTCAAGGGTTCCCCCCTTCTACACTACTGATGAGCCCCGTAACCTCTCTATGAAACCTCAAGGCCTTGCTATCGTGTGTAGCACCCTACAAGCGTTCGGCTGCACGCACCCGACGCTTACTGAACCAGCCAGATACTCTGTTTTCTTTGTCTGATGCTTGGCCAAGTTCCTACCCATCCACCCGCTTCCCTGATATTCGACGAGTCCTCCTTTGGCCCTCCTCAATGCGAATTCTCCACTCGCATGCACACACACACAGAGAGAGAGAGAGACTTACATACATACATACATATATAGATACATACATACATACATACATACATAAACACTATACCTGTGTTCCTCACTTTGAAGGAGCTTGGCCCTCGAGATCTCGCGAGCTAGCTCGCAGGATTCCCCTAAAATTGTTCTCCCTGTTACACAGCTAGCTACCGCCTTCTTCCACGTGCACACTTGCTGCTGCTTTTGTGCAATGCTCGTCTCAGGGATGGCGGCGGATGTGGGCCGCTTTCTGATTTTTTTGGTGATTGCGCAATTCGCTATCCACGCCTCCACTTCCTTTCTTATTTTAGCAGCTGCCATTTGTAAGACTCCCCTATCTTGGTGGTAGCCCTCAGTCGCTGTCACGCCGTATCCTGTTGGACGAAGCTCTTACTATCTTATAGGGGACTTTGCCATGACGTATTCTGAAGTCTCTGCGGTGCTAGTGCTCCTGCTGCTGGTGTGGCCTCTTATCAGCCCCCCGCCTGTCGGTTGCTCAGAGCGTTGCGCCGGTGGTTCTTGTCATCATTCTCCTCGTCTGCGGCTTTTATATCCGTGACCAAGACATGCCTGTAAGTCCGGCAAGGACCTGCGTGCGTGCTGCGCATGTGTCGACGCAATCGTGGGATGAACGGCTGAAAATTTTTGTCTCTGTTAAAGTCCTTCAAGCCTCTTTTTAGTCTTTTCTTCCCCCTGTGGTGCCTCCTAGAGGCCTTGCGTGCCCCCACCCCACATCGTAGCACCACCCCAACTTAAGTGCATCTGGCTGTATCATTGGCTTTAGGTGTGGATCCGCTGGCTGAAGTACATCTCCTTCATTCACTATCCCTACCTCTGCTTTGCGGCAAACGAGTTTATCGACAACCCCACCTGGGCAGGACTGCCTTCAGACTTCCTTGAAGTATACGGTGGCCTCAGCGACACCCGCCTGGGCTTCAATCTTGGCATTCTGGTGGCTGTTGCCCTCATTCTACGCTGTATGGCATTCTTCGCTATCAAATACTGCAACAGGAGAATCGGACTCGAATCCTGAGCTCGTCTGCTCGCAGCCAGAGGCAGGCGTATCTAAACGATTTGCAGGCGGCATCAAAATATGAGGCCCCAAAGGCGGCGCACTACCCGAGTGCGTGTTGTCTCTCTGACACTGCCTAACCGCATACTTCCTGGAACCCTAGCGGCAATCAAAGAAAGGGGGCCTAAGGCCTTTGAGCGACCTTGAAAGCGAGCACTTTCGCACACGGAGCACCTCGATATCGAGAGACAGATACCTCTCGAGCTGCTGGAGCTTTCTTTTTTTTGGCCCTCTGTGCCCCCCCATGGCCTCCGCTCCTTCCTCTTCTAAATAGCCAGTGGCTAATTGGGCGCGCTAGTTCTTTGTATACGTCTCTATGTACGGTATGAGGTCTTGTTTAATTGGTCGCATTGTAGTTTATCAAACGACGCCTAAATTTCTTTGCGTGAGCGCTGCAGCCTAGGGGAAAGAAACTTCGCCCCGTGCAGCCCACGAACCCGTAAATCGATTTGACTGCAGAGTAGGCGCGCGGCGTAGCGCCGTGCCGAGTGCTTAGACAGTACCAGTCAGCGGCTTTCCTCTTCGAGGACTTTTAGTGAGAACAAAAAAGCTCAGGAGACGGTTGGCATACGCCTGCCTAAGTATCTGCGTGTGCTTGTGCACAACAAAGGTTGCTTTCTGTCGAAGCAGAGCAACCGTGTCACAAGGTAAAGTCGGTGCGCTAGTTCGGTGTGAAGATATGGATTACAACTAGAAGATAATTAATAGTTTTTTTCGTAATGCGCGCGTTTTGCCCCCCCAGTGTCGTGGCCTTCACACTTGCGGGGGGGCTCCACATCTCTGGTTTTGAGGGTTGCTGCTGCCGCAGCAGAAGTTTCTTATTCGACTGCCAGAGAAGTGCGTGCACATCAGTTGATCGACGGGAGCCATGTGTTTGCGCCTATAGCGCTTTTACACACCAATTCAAAGACTTCTTGCATCCCGCTTCCTGGATGTTCACCCTGTGCACAGTTCGTTGGAGTGTTGTGCCTTCTTTGCCCTTTGCGGTCACCCACGTGGGTTAGAAGAGCTCAAATACAAGATGAATCTGTGGCGATGAGCGTTTTTCGGTAGTTTGCCACCCCGACGCAGCGCGCTTCGAGTTCGCCTCCGGGGTTTGTGCCGTGTGGCAGAAAGAGCCAGCAGAAAAACCTCGAGCATGTATCAATCATGTTCTGGCTCATAAAAATAACAGTCTTCGAAGGCGCAGAGGAAGAATAGCGCAAAGTTTGCAGGAGAGTGAGGCCAAAACGAAGACAGGGTGCTCTCTCTCCTGAGGCGAATGTCGGTCGGCTGTGCACTACGAGGGCCCTTGGCGTGAAGCGTCCCCCGCTTGTCTGTGTTTTTGTATTTGCATCCTTCCTTTCTGCTCTTTTCTGGCGTAGAAAAAGCCTTTTTCCTTTCTGGCGTGTCAAAGCCATCCAGAAGACCCCTTGAGCAAGGCCGCTCCCGCAAGGGCACAGCGTCCTAGCCAGCTCTGGACCATTGAACTGGCGTCGACAAAAGAGAGGCCCCCCCCCCCTTATCCGTTCTCTGACCTTTGAAGACTTCACTTGTTCCTTGTTTCTTCTCAATCCTCGAGTCTTGGGGTTGTTGGGAGCCCGCGTGTTTTCCAGATTTTGCAGCCCTTGCTGTGCGCCTTTGAACTTTTCTCAGCGCGTGGCAGCGGAATATGCCCTATTCCAAGGCGAGCCTCCAGAAATAAGTATGTACAGCCAATAAGCGACGTGGGATCGTGTAGCTTGTCCAAAGGGGAAGCCCCCGTTACAGGCCTTTTTGAAGTATGAGATGACTGCGTCTTCAGCAGAAGATGACGCTCCCCCCGTGGGGGAGAAATTCCGTGGTGGGCTCTTCCCTGCAGCCACGCAGGAAGCGCAGCCTCACAGCCTCCGCAGGAGGGGCCTCGGCAGGGTCTTTCCTCGTCGCCATGGGGCCTCGAATGGTCTCAACGGCGCAGCAGGTGGGGGGCCCTCCACCATGGATGAGGACGTTTCCGAGGAACGCAGAGAGGGAGCAGCATCGCGGGAAAACTCCCCAGGGTGGCTCCCTTCAGAGGACAGCTCTGGGGTAGAAAGCGAAACGCTTCAAACATCAGAGGACAAATGCTCTGGGCGGCAATCTCCGAAGAATAGTGCGCCTTCGGCTGCCTCCGATTCTGAATGCAACGCGAGTCGTGAGACCTCCACAGCTGACATGCTAACAGCCAAACTGAGGAGACTAGCGCTACGCACTCGCAGCTTGGTGGGGAATGCTCCGCTTGCAGAGGATCTAAAGGCTCGATGGTGCTCACCCCCTGCGTCCCCGCGAAGCCTCAGGCACGAGGGCGCAGGGGGGGCCCCCGGCCTGCAGACTCACAGGGTGCTACAACGCCTCTCGGAGTCTCTCGATGCTATTACAGAGACAGCCGCGCTAGCCGCCACTGAGGTAAGTAAGTTGCGAGGCGAGATTTTGCGTCCTTCTAAGGGCACCCAAAGATGGGATGCATCGAGATGCAAACTGGGTGTTGCGGAGAAATTCGTGTGCTGCGCACAGTGCCGCAGATGGCGATTCACAGCCACGCGACAGAAGAAACAGCTGCATTGCGCCTTGGAAGAAAACGACCGACTGGTCAGGAGGGCTTCCTTGCCTGTCAGCAGCAGTCGGCACTCCAAAAGAAAGCGCCCTCAGAGGCGTTCCTTTTGGTGCTGCAGTGGGGTCTAAGCCTCGAACTTGTTCTGCGCATGAGCTTCAATAGAGGGGGTGTGTGCTTGTCAATGTGGGTGGTTGAGGCTATGCGCAGTTGGCAGAAAGCCAAGGGTTATCAGAGGAGCTGAATGCCGCGAAACAGAAGTGTTTCAACAGTGAGGCACAGCTTCAGCAACTTGCAAAGTACAAGGTCAGCAGCAAGGATGCTTTTTCTTCCCGCGGGGGAATTCGAACGGGAGACAGTGGAGGGGGGTGACCCTGCCTCCTCACAGCTTTTCGCCTTTTTGAAACGAGAAGTGGCAGTTCAGCGTGAACGCCTCCCTTCTTGTGTGATGCGTGGTGTCGCAGAACTATCAGACAAAGTTTTTTGCATGCCAGGGGCAGGTGGCTCGCCTGCAATTCGACATGGATACTCTCCGTCGTGGGTTCGACTCCCTAGAGGCCCTCCATAAGAGTCAGGAGGCGCAATTGCAACAGAGTACAGAGACAGTCGCCGCTCTCAAGCAAAGGCTTCGTGCGACAGCAGACGAGGTGGGCTATATATTTATGGGTGCCTATTTTTAGAGCTCTTCACGGACACCTCAGAGAGAAGCAGCGCACACATCGCCGCATAGGGAAGGGTAAGAAGCCAAGAAATCAAGAGCTAAAAGACGATACCCTCGAGAAGCAGCGATACATGGTGGATGTGCGTTCGTGCCACAGCTTGCCCAGACGAAGAGGACCCTTGCGCTCGAGCGTGCTTCTCCCCGGGGAGTACGTCGGTGTCGTCGATACTCATGCGCTACCCCAGTCAGAGCGCGAGAACCTGAGGAGGCAGAAGGGCATCCCATCAAGTTCGCGCGCGATAGAAATGTGTCTCCTTGCGAGTTCTGTGCTCTGTGCGACTGCGGCTGCGCAACTGTACGCTGCAGGCGCATCCATTGGAGCCAAGTCGCTCTTCGCCGGAGCCAGGACGCCTGTTGCGGCACACAATGCTTTCTCAAGACAACCTGAGCCGTGTGAGTTCCTTTAGTTCTTCAAGCACAGCTGACTTCAGTTTTCGGGGCAGCCCGTGTGTGGCCCTCGCTTCCTGTGACGCTCTTCGTAAGGCGAACAGCGAGGCATTGCGCGCTACTAAGGGCCCTCCTACCTCTCACCATAGCTTCAACAGCATGAGGCCGTCCGCTCTAAGGCATAGCCTGAGAGCCTCGCTCTCGCAAAGGCAGCAGAGACCCCTGCCTGCCTTGCGTAGCTTCTGCTCGGGAGAGACCCCATCGGCTGCCTCGGAGTGGCACAGCATTCGCATCCTTCGCTCAGCAGCCAGCAAACCGAGTGAGACTACCCTCTCCCGTACATCTAGCCTTGTGAATCCTGAACGTGGCGGAGACCTCCCCAGAGACGAGTGTCAGCAGAGCGCACTTTCTCTCTTCGAGGAGCTGGCGGCAACTGCGGAAGTATCACCGCAGTCGCCGTCACCCTCCAAGCCTCCAGATAAAGACGCGCCGTCTAAGGAGGCCCTCTCAGCAGGGGCCCTCCAGCATGTGCTGCAGATCGTGGCGATGTCTCCCGTCTCGTTGGAAGAGCTCGAAGCTCACGGCGTTGGGCACGCAAGCCTCTTGCAAGTAACAAGACTGCGCAAGAACATGGCGCTGCAAGGAGAGAAATCCACTCCCACCAGCCCCCTCGCTGCGGCTCCTCAATGCCACTCTCCGGCAGCCGCAACAACAGCCCGTGGACGCTGGCTACCTTCTTTCTCGATTTCCTTTAGGGATACCGTAGGAGCTTTGTGGCGTTTAGTGGCTCGGGGGTTGCCGCAAAGAAGCCTTACTAGCCCTCCTGAGAGTACCTCTGTCCAGTGCCCCTCTTTTTCCCCATATCTGCTCCTTGGAGCCTCGCTGGAAAGCACGTGCTCCCTCATATTCTTTGTCGCAGTAGCCACTTCAGCCCTCTGGCTGCGCCTGCCTGACTCGAGTGTAAAGGTACTGTAATCCTCGTTTGCGATTCAAGTGTGCACGAAGCTCCCCATTCAGCCTCCTAGCGTATCTTAGGACCCCAGAGAGAAGCTTCCCACCCCCTCAAACCACCCAACCCTGCGAAAAAAATGCGTCTTCTTTCGTAGAAGCCGTGTGCTGCTCCCCAAGACACAAGCACCCTATGACCGACGGCTGCAGCGCACCCGATTAGCTTCGTGGTTCAGCGCCTCAAGCGCAGAGTCGTAGAGATGTGCAACGTTAAGAAAACAGGGGCGTATACACTTTACGACACATACTCTTCTCTCACACGCAACGCAACACAGTTCTGACCGCAAGACATGGATGGCCCTATCGATCGCCTTGCCCAAGGCACCCAAAAGTACCAACAGCACTAACTCCTGCCATGTCTCTGCTCGCCATGCTGAGCAAACAGAGCGTTGCGCGGCTGCGGGGCACTGCTGCTATCTACAGCTGCAGAAAGACCTCCTGAAGGTGGAGGAGGCGGAGGCGGAGGTGGAGTGACAGTACTAGGCCTTCTGGCCTTACTACGAGAACCCGATAGTCGACTGCTGTGCGCGTCTGCAGTAACGGTGCGCGGCCTTTTTCTTTCATCTTCACCCTCTTGAGGATCTCCTTCTCTCTTGGTATGCCAGCCACTCGAACTGCTGCTCCCCGAAGACCCCTCGACGGCCCCCTGCACGCAGGCAGAGAGACAACAAGGCAGGCAAGACCGCACATCCCCCTTCGCACAAAGAAACACCTGCCGGAGCAGCAACACGACAAACACCCTCTAGTAAAATATATATCCCTCTGCACTCAAGGCTGCCGATCGAACGATGTGTGCAAAAGCGACTCCCAACGGAGAAACGTCCTACAAGGGAGCGACTCGTCGAGGCAGGGCCAGAGGCATTGAAGGCGGGAAGGCCTCCACTGCTGCTGCTGTTGCTGCTGCTGCTTCCATGAGTCGCCGCTGATGGAGCGTGAGAATGCGCATGCGACGGCACTAAAGCGGCCTCTGCAGTGCCGGCAAGCGGCTTGCTGCTGCTGATGCCACGAGGAGCTATGATCGGAGGAGGCGCCTTGGGAGCAACGCGCGTCTTAGACACACCGCTAGTACTCCTGGAAGCTGACGACGTATGCATGCGTGGCCTGTTGGTGTCTTTGCTGCTGCTGCTGCTGCTACTGCTACTGCTGCTGCTGCTGCCACTGCTACTGCTGCTGCTGCTGCCACTGCTACTGCTGCTGCTGCTGCCACTGCTACTGCTGCTACCACTAGCATTGGTTCCACTGCCACGCGAGCTCCCGCTGCTATGGCTGCTTCGGGTTGCTGATTGTTTGCTGCTGCTGCTGCTGCTGCTAGACGAGCGTCCATCCCCGTCTCGGCTGCTGCCCCCGCTGCCGTGCTGCTGCTGCTGCCTGCTGCTGCTGCTGCTGGAGCCTTCTCGGACGCTGCCACTACTGCTAGGCATTCCACTTCGCACCCTTGAGGAGTGACTCCCGTCATTCGCATGAGCCCTTGCGCTGCTGCTGCTGCTGCCGCAAGTCACGGACGGCACTGCATTGTTCGAACTGGTAATCCCTACGCCAGCAGCAGTGCTCCTGCTGCTGCTGCTATAGCTGCTGCTGCTGCCGTCCAGTTGACGCGTAGACACGTGGTGCTCAGCAACCTTAAGGCTGCTACCACCTTCATGGCGGCCCCGTGCGACAGCACCATCAGCCTTTGTGCTGCTGCTGCTGCTGCTGCTGCTGCTGCTAGCGGCTGCTGCGGCATGGCCCCCCACAAAGCCACCCCCACGCCCTTCCCCAGTTGAGCTCTCTGATGCTCGCAGCTGCCTCGGAGAGGCACCGCTGCCGCTGAGTCTGCTGCCTGTGCTGCTGCTACTCAGCCCTCCTGGTGCTGCATCCGCCTTGCTCGGTGCAGACGTCGGTACGGTGCTGCGGACACCCTTGCTGCTGCTGCTGCTGCTGCTGCTGCTGCTGCTGCTGCTGCTGCTGCTACTGTGGGGCCTCACGTCCCCCTGAGGTGTCTGGGGAAGTAATACGGGGGTGGGGAGGCCAGCCATCCGCGCCTTCATTATGGAAACCGCCTCAGGCCCCAGAGGACTTCGCCGTACAGGCAGTGTCGTGGAAGCAGCAGATGCTGCTGCTGCAGCAGGTGCAGCAGCAGCAGCGGAGGGTGCAGCCGCAGCAGCGGAGGGTGCAGCAGCAGCAGCGGAGGGTGCTGCAGCAGCAGGACGCGCCATTGGCTTCGTACTGCTGCCACCAGTCACCCCCGTCCCCGATGCTGCTGCCGCTACTGCCGCTGCAGGCGTAGCTGCCGCTGCTGCTGCTGCTGCTGCTGTTGCTGCAGCGGAGGGCGCTGAGGCTGTAGGACGACTCCCCCCTTCCGCAGCCTCCGTCTTGGACTAAGACAAACAACACCCCCAGAGAGACAGACACACAAACAAGACGTCCCAAGACACACGACTCTCAATCGACGCAGGCAACCCCCCCCTTTCTTCGACGATCCCTTATCGAGACACCTCTGTGGGCAGTCCTCCCAAAACACCTCGCCACGCAACTCCGGAAGGCTGCATGGCTTCACCCCTTTCTCTCCACAGGTCTTTCTCCCGCTGTCTGTGGAGCGGCGCGCAGTTGCCCCCTCATCCCCCCCTGTCTACAAAACTGCCTTGTAACCGTGTAAGAACTCTCTTTTAACCAACCCCCCCCCCCCCGCCCACCCCTCCCATTTTACTCACACGCTTCGTCTGGGGCCCTCCCTCGCTAGCGACGCTCGCAAGCGCATTCTTCGCCCTTGAAGGCTTCGTGCTGAAGGGCGAAGATGCACTTGCGGCGGTTTGCTGTAGATTTGGCATCTCAGATGTCTTGCTGCCGCTGCTACTGCTGTTACTGCTGCTGGCGTGCTGCTGTTGCGGGGTTGGGGATGCATCTTTTGACGGCGTTGCTGCCCTTTGCTGCATGCCAACAGGACTCTTTGCTTTTTCATCCGCTTGCCCTCCTGCGGAAGTTGCGATTGCGGCAGCAGGCAGAGGGTCTAGCCAGCAGCCCTCCCTCTGGTGCTTAGCCAGCACCTTCATGATGCTACCCGCTGACAAAGAGACATCCTTCCAGTTCCAGGCCTGCAGCATCCCCCCACGCAGACAACAGACAGCAGCAGCAGCTCCGCCTTTTGCCCGCTTCTCGCTTCGAAAGAATGCCATCCACAATACAGACCCACGAGGCAAAGGCCATCAGGAAGAGCACTAGGCATCAACGCGTACGCCTTCCCACCCCAACCATCCCCCCGCCCTCCCTACGGTTCCAGCGAATAGCACATCAAAGCACCAACTGCCAAAAACGCATCTCTCGAATTTCAGAGCACGCCACTGACCAACAGCCAACCGAACGATCCCACCCCCCACGCATGCAGAGCCATCTCTCCTGAGGGCAAGAGCAAAATCAATACAAAGAACACCGACCCGACAGCAGGAGGAAGAAGAGAAATCAACCTGTCCCTCGAGAAAAGGACGAACGCACTTGGGCTGCAGTGAGAGCATCACTCAGACGACGCATCAATTCGACACCCCGCTTGTACGTGAGCGGGAAGCTGTCGTGACACCGCGAAAGGAAAACAACAGCCGCTTTCGCTGCCAACCAGCTTGAAGGGTCTGGCGCTGACGTCGCTGCGGAGGCATGTGGTAGGCCTGCAAGGCAAGCAGACTCGGAAAAGCAGCAGGTGCCCTCAAAAACAGAAACTCCCAGTCTGCCCCTTCCTCCGAAGACGTAAATAATCGCTCCGATTTATTCACACCGCGCACCGCGCAAGCCTCCGCTGCTTCCCAGTGCCCCAAGGCAACATCGACCAAAGCAGCCACGCACTCTGCACCAAGCCGTCAAAAATGCGAGATTCCCACTTCTTCGCGCCCTTCGTAAGGTGGCAGTGCTTCGCCTTGTTGTCGGAGAACCTGTACGTCAGTGCGAAGCAACAGTTTCCCGCCGTCTCCTTCTCAAAAGCCTGTTCGTCCTGCAGCCAGCGGCGAAGAGGGGACAGAATCTCCGCAACAAACAACCCCAACATCTGCGCCTCTCGCTCCGTGCTGCTCCTGAAGAGAGTCCACACGCGCAGAACCAATTAAAAAGCATGCAAACTATGTGTGCTCGAAGGGGTGCAAGGCAAACTTTGCGAGAGCAGGATGTGTGTGTGTGTGTGTGTGTGTGTGCATGTGTGTGTGCATGTGTCGCACTCCGAGAATTCTTTCCCCCTCCCCCCGATCCCCCTTCTCGCTAAGCCTCAAGAATTAAGTCCCTAATAGCTGCTGCCGGCTAAACGCGTCGCGCTCACACAACACCGCCTGCGCTCTGCAAAAATCCGCTGCAACAAGGGATCTCGATTCGATCGCATCTCCCTCCCCAGTTTTCCACCCCGCAATTTTCCCCTCCCTTCTATTTCAGGATGCACCTGATAATCGGAACCAGCATCCGCGTCCAGATATTCATAAAGTCAAGGAAGTTGAAGAGGGGCAGCCGCAACCCGACGAGCAGCCAGACGAAATGCGCGCAGAAAAGAGCATCCGCTTCAGAGTTCACCACGCGAGGCGCCAGCATGTACTTGATGATGGCTCGCAATGCGAATGGTCCCCTCTTTGAGCTTGCGAATTTGCCATCGCCTGTAGCTGCGGCAGCGGCTGCCGCAGCTGCAGGAGGTATCGATCCGTCTAGTGTTGTTGCCTCACAGGACGAGACACCTGCTTCATGCCCTCCATCAGTCCCCGCCATAGCCGCAGTATCGCTTTTTCCGATCAAGGGAATTTTCACCAGCTGGGATGTTTCCCGAAGCGACTGCGTCACACTATCCTCCGTTGTGCTGCTGCTGCCGCCGCTGCTGCAGCGGCCTGAAGGCAGCACCGAGGAGGCTCCGTCAGACTCGCCGCAAGCCTCTCCCTGCAAAGTAGCAGAAGGCTGCTGCTGCTGCTCCTGCTTTCCTGTCTGCTGCAGTAACAGCCACGAGCGACTCTCGTCCTGCAAAGCTGACCGCACGGCTGCCTGGCGGGCTTTGTGTTCTTCCCACTCCTGCAGGAGTGCGCGGCGCTGAAGTTTCAGCTTGCCTCGTTTCTTGCGAAGGCCGTCTTCTTCTTTTCTGCTAAAGTCAGCAGCCCCCGCAGCCACCATGGCTGCAGTAGGCTGACTCCCGCCACTGCTGCTGCTGCTGCTGCTGCCGAGATTCCGACGGTAGCGCTCGATGTCTTCGAGCGCGCGCTGCGTCTGTCCGCATCGAGCCACATGCGCAACACAACGCTTGCCTGCTGCTGCCACCCACCCCCCTCAGGAGCACAACGCTAGGCCCTGCTGCTGCAACGTGTGTGTTTGAGCGAACAAGTTACGATGCGTCTATGTGCGTCACCAACTGCCAGAAGGCAGCCCGTGCAGGCAGCCGGCCCCTATTTCCCCGCAGCAGCAGCTCACAAGACCTCTCCTCCACCGATCACACGTACCTCATGAATTGCATTTTCCAGCTTGTTGAGCGATGTCTCATATTGGATATTCGGCACAATGATGTCTTCTAGAGACAGACGCCAGAAGAGCAGCAAGAAATCCAAGGAGAGGCCGTCCAGATGCCGCGAGTCAACCCCGGACGGCTTCAGCAGCGGCACCATTTGACTTTTCCACTGATCTGCAGAAACGGAAGGCGTGACACACGCGTAGGAGGGAAATGAGAGGGGGGGAAATAGGAGGGGGAAAAGGGCTCTCTATCTCTCAATGCGTATCGAAAAATCTGCTGCAGCTGCTGCCTCGCGTTAGAGGCGCCCTCGAGGGAGGAAGCGGCAAAACACGACACACCTGTAAAAGAGGCCTCTACCACTAGCGCTGTCGATACACTGCCGCTAGACGGGCTTGAACATCCATCATCTGCAGCAACACCCGAAGCTCCGGCTGCTGCTGCTGCAGGTTTGACTGTAAGGCCAGCAGACAATCCTTTACCAACCTGAGGAGACGCATCCTCGCTGGCGAGCAAGGGTGGCTTCTGAGTAGCAGTATTTCCGCCGCTGCTGCTGCTGCTGTTAGTGTTAGTATTTCCGCCGCTGCTGCTGCTATTGTTGTTAGTGTTAGTGTTTCCGCTGCTGCTGCCGCTGCTATTGTTGTTAGTGTTAGTGTTTCCGCTGCTGCTGCCGCTGCTATTGTTGTTAGTGTTTCCGCTGCTGCTGCCGCTGCTGCTGCCGCTGCTATTGTTGTTAGTGTTTCCGCTGCCGCTGCTGCCGCTTCCTTGAGCGCCTCCAATCGTAAGAAAGTCTTCGAGCGCAGGCCTTAAGAAGCTCCACGCCATAGCCGGGCTAAGGAAGGCAAAGAGAACCTCATGAGGGGGCAGAAGCGTCTTGTACGTCTCCCGACTGAAGGAGCGACTGAGGTACTCGAGCAACTGCAGGTGATACTTCTGCAGGTCGTCTACGGCGGCAGCGAATGCCTGCATAGAGGTCCTGCACTCCGCGTCATAGAGAAGTTCAGCTCGCACTTTCGCGGGAATTAGCAGCAAAGGCAGCAGCAACCGAGGATCCCTTAAGGCATCCGACAAGGCACGCTGAGCACGGACGTCAACGGCTAAGTCTTCATCTCCTACCAGCATCACCTCCGCCTTCAGCAGAGGACCACCTGCCTGCGGAGCGATCAAACGCCACAAGAGAAGCACGTCGAGCAGCGGGCATGAGAGAGCTCAGCGGCGGCGGCGCTCCCCGCTAGTGCCTTCCCTTCGCCAAGGCAGATCCTGTTTCCAGATGTCTAGGTGCTTCGTATAAAGCTCGTTCGCTGCTCTACGTGTGCGTACGCGAAGGCCGCTTTGAGCAAAGGTGAAGATCAGTCAGCCAGTCAGGGCAGTACATGGATGAACTACGATCCGGATCGCGCCGCTAGCTACGGACTGTGCGCGTCTTGTTTGAAGTTCTACGGCACCTCATGAAAGCCCCTTTGTACTGCTTGCGTTTCGACTGTCTGGCGCTCTCAGGGAGCGAATGCCAGTGGAGCAGCGAGCACCCTAGGGGCATACGCGAGCTGCGAAAAGACGGCAACGAAGACAATTCTTACCTGCGCGTAAATCTGATCAACGGTCAGCGCTCCCGCCTCCGGCAGCCGAGGACAGCCTCCAACCAGCTCCAAGAGTCTCTCGATGTATTCCTTGTCTCGGATGTACCCTGCGAGCTCATTAGGGTAATTGCGGTTCTTGCCTGCAATGCTGACAAGCAAGCCTCCCGCGACAAGATCCTCCGGCACCTCCCCGTCCACTGCCATCGCATCTCCGTCTGAGGGGAGCTCCTCCACTCGTCTCTTCCTAAACTGCTGCACATCCTTCGTGTGCAGTTCACACCACATCCGGGTGACAGTAGAAAGCAGCAGGGGACGCAGATCGGTCTCCTTGTGGCTGCGCCGCATGCACACAAGAGCACACGCGGAAGAGGCCCCTAAACCTCCTCGACACTGCATCCTGAAGAACTGGATGGAAGGCGCATACATAGCAGCAGAAGCAGCAGCGAGAGAGAAAGACGCGTGAGAACAATCCGTGCAATCTCAAGGAGAAGCGCTTGATGCAAAAATGCCAAAAGAAGAGAGAGACAGAGAGAGACAGAGAGAGAGACAGAGACAGAGAGTTTCAACACAGCACGGACGGAAGGGGCGGTGTATCGACACCGGATACGCGAACAGGCCGAAATGCCTTACATCCTGAAGAACTGCCCTGCCATTGCAGCTCGATTTAAGAGCTTTCGGGAGACAGTAATTCCGTCTGCTTCGCCTCCACTGTCTCTCCTTTGCAACTGGCGTTGAATGAAGCGCGAAGCCAACACGTCTGCCGCCACACTGGATACCCTTCGCGTAGCCTCGGTGAGAGTCTGCACCTGCAGGCAGCAGCAAACAACAGAGGCACTTTCCCCGAGCTGAAAGAAGCTCTGCGTGCCACTGCAGCAGTAGTACACCAGGTGTCTACTATGCACTAACTGTGCTGCATGCAGCCGCCAACAGAACCAAATAGCAGCAAAGCTTGCCGCTGTCTATGCAGCACCCAACAGCAGCAAACCTTGCCGCTGTCTCTGCAGCACCCATCAGCAGCAAACCTTGCCCCTGTCTCTGCAGCACCCATCAGCAGCAAACCTTGCCCCTGTCTCTGCATTGCTCCGCGTGCGGCATACCATGTTGCCGTCGAAGAAGTCTCCTTGAGTAATAGCGGCTTCGGCGAGAGGGAGCGGCGCCGTGAGCGACAACGCCGCAATCTCCGCAAGAATGCCTCTGTCGCTGTTTTTCGCCTTTTTAGAGAAGATAGTCGAGGTCAAGCGCTTCAGCAGCTTCCGTAGCTTTATGCGGGCGATCTCATAATTCAAAGCCTGCATAGACGCATGGAGAAAAAAATAAGGAGTCCATGCTCTTTCTCGGAACGCGCATACTGGCACACACACAAAGAGAGGGAGAGAGAAAGCTAACGCACTAGATTGCCGGCAACCACGCTATCTTTGCGGATACTTTTCAAAAAAAAATTGTCTTTAGTGCCGCGTGTCTCCCGCCTCCCTCAAGGCCCTTAAAGGCCTCTCTCTCTCTAAAGCGTCTCATATGATGCGATAACGGGCTTTCACTCGCGAATATGCGTGGCAAAAACAACGGCTTTCTCCCTCTCACCAGGGGGCAGTGCTCCTCTCTCCACAGTTGCATGACTCTGTCGTACATGCGATACCGCCTGTGAGGTGGCAGCTCCTTTAGCACCGACCACAAGAGCGCATTCACCAAGGGTGCCCCGTGTAGCACCTGTGACACTGCTGGGAAGATCGCTTCCGCCATACAGGAGACCTACACACATCGAGCATCACCCCCCCCCCCAACGCGCAAGAGGAACACAACATACACACCTCATATCAGACGCACTCCCCACGCCGCCGCTGCTGCTGCTGCTGCCCCTGTTCGCGCCTCCCCTTTACGCGGCAAGGCAGCAGCACGAACTCCCACTGCTCCTCGTGAGGACGTGTCTCCCAATGTGCTTCTGAGGATTCTCAGCGAAAACCTGTGCCAGGCCTCTACAGGGGACTGCCCATTAAGAAGAAGAAAAAAACAAGCACCCTCACACAACAAAGGCGCACAGAATCCTCCCCCCTGCACCCTCCCCCTCTGCTTCTTCTTGTTCTTCTACCCCCATCATCTTCCCCTTCCCGCCTTCTCCTTCCTAGCCTCTCCCTCTTCTCCCCGCAACCCCCGCCCTCCCTCCACGAAGCAGCATCCGACCATCTCTTCGTAGCGCCAGTCCCGCGGCTCGCAGCCAGCCTTTACAGCCGCTGCAAACTCCTTGCAGATGCTCAACACGCCTAACAGCAGCCGCGGAGAGAACGCCAAGGAAGCGTGAAGCAGCCGAAGCAGCGGAACGGCCTTCAGGAAAAAATCGTCAAACGAATGGCACTGCATGAGCCCCTGAGCTCTAAACTCCTCTCGCGCTTCTGTACCAGAGGCTGCTTCTGCAGACGGCCTCAGGGAAGGCAGCAGAACGCCCAACCACAGCCGAGGGATTCTGCAAGGATTGAAAGTCGACTCGTTTTCCGCGGCTTTGCGCAAAGCCTCCAACGCGTCTCCCGAAGGCACTGGCTGGTCTATAGGGTCGTCGTTCACGCTGCCAGAAATACGACCCCCCTCCGACTGCCGCGCGGAGAGATTCTGCGTCTTCGCGGCTGCCTCCAGCATCTCCCGCAGAGAGGCCTCTGGACCCCTCAGAATGGGGTGTATCAGCCAACTGCGACGCAGCAAAGACACCCGTAACGCATACACAGTCAGCTGCAGCCAGAGAAACTGCATGCGCATATGGGGGGCTCACGATGAGAACCTAGGCGTCTCTGTACGAACCACTGCCTAGATGGATCTCATCAGTTTGAAAACACGACCACAAAGCGAGCTTTTTGCTTTTTTAAAAAGAGGCCAGTAACGCGCAGCACCCCTGCATGCGCAAGCTACAAAGGCACGGGCACCGCCTACACCCTCCACGCCGACACGAACGACCTCGCCTTCGCATGCATGCATGCTTATATATAAGGATATTTGAGAACGGAGGCGCCGGATCGAAGATTTACAAGGTTCGACACCTGCATGTGGAATGCATTGCAGCTCTGGAAGAGTGCAGCTGCTGCTCGATACACCATCATTCGAAAAATGGGGAGGAGGCGAGGGAGACACCGTAACACGCCGCATGCGGCGGCAGTCGCGAAAGGCAAGCAAGACGTGAGCTACACAAGGACCACGTAGCGACAGGGAAGTTCGCCACGAAGGGAGAAGGTGCCTCTGCCACAAGGAGTACGCTCCACATGCACGACCAACCCATACGGCGAACTACATTTCTGAAGCACCTGATGTATCGGACGAGACTCTTGTAGACGCGGGAGTTCCCCGAGACAAGAAGCCGCAGTTTGCCTGCGAAATGGAGCAGCAGCTGCTCTGCGCTTTCGAACGCGTTGAAATCCAGGAGCGATGCCAGAAGCTCGAGCTTAGGGAGCTGCAGCCGAAAGAAGCAATCCCTTGAGGCCCTGTGCAGGAAGAGGCAGCAGCAGCAGCAGCAGCAGCAGCAGCAGCAGCAGCAGCAGCAGCATGCACTACACGCAATGCAGGTGCCAAGACACGGTTCGACATCGTTCCCCTGGGAAGAAGAAGACATATGTGGTGGTCTGTATATCTGTACCCCCGGTGTGCATGGGCTAGCGGTCTCACTCATGAAAGGACGGAAAAGATGCGAGCAGAAGGCGAGCGCCCACACGCAAAGACCATTGAAACGCGGCAGCAGAGCACGCAGTGTCACGGGGAGACTGAAGGGGCCTCGAATTGTGATTTGTGACGTTATTTGCGCCGCAGCCTCACCGGTATGTCTTCTCCGCCCCTTGCAACAGATGCTCCACATGCGGTGGCAGTGCAGCAGACACTGCGGCCTCTTCAGTTGCCACATTCCCTGAGGCGGCAGTGGAATCAGCTAGGGAGGATGCAGAAGGACTCTCTCTCCCCTGCTGCTGCTCCTGCTGCTGCTGCTGCTGTTTCTGCTGATGCTGATGCCTCCAGTCCTCACGAGCTCCCCGTGCGGGAGTGCCTCCCCAGGCGAGAGGGGAGTTTCCGTAGGACCCTCCGAAATGCTGGACCCCTCCGACGTTTCCGGAGGCATACGTCCCAGCAGACGAAGCATAGCCTGCACACCCGCAGCAGCCACTCCCACCACGACGCTTCAAGACTTCCAGCAACTCGCGGTGAGGAGGTCAAGAGGGCCTCGCATCGAGAGAAGCTCCTATTACCTTGCGCGCTTGGAGGCAGCTGCTGCTGCTGCTGCGGCTGCTGCTGCGGCTGCGGAGACATCGCAGCTCCGCCTGGAAGGCCTCCATTTTGTTGGTGTGCTGTTGGTGTTGCCGCTAGAGCTGCTCCTGAACACTTGGGGGGGGACTGGAGAGTGCCCGTCTTGGCAAGCGCTAAAGCCTCGCGGAAGCGGACAGCCAGGCAATCGGCGAGCAGCGCTAGAGAGGCGTCGGTTGGCATCAAGTAGGGGTAGAGCTCCTCGAGGGAGAGAACCCTGCAACGGGCAGGCGAGACAGCACAAAAGTGCCGGCTCACAGTTCGCATGCCCCCGCGACGCGCAGGGAAAGGGAGGGACGTGCAGGAGGAGGCGGGGAGGAGGAGGCGTCGATGCCGAGAAAAAATGACAAGCCTCAACGCAGCCCTCCACAGCACTGCTATCCGTCGGAAAAGCGGAGCGGGGAAGGCACGCGCAGAGCAGAACAGAAGCAGCAAAACGACATCGTGCCCGCTCTTACCCTCGCATAATCAGGAGAGCCAAAAGGTCGTAGAATTCCTTCGAGGGCCCCATGGCGGTGCTGCACGTCACAGACGTCTTGAGAGCACCCATGGCCTCCTCCACCATCCGCTGCGACAAAGAAACACACAAGATGAAAGAGGCGCGTGAGAGGAAGAGGGCGAAAAGGGTGGACGTGGCAGGAGGCGTCTGCAGCAGATGCCTTGTCAGAGCGGCTGCATCCTCAGTTCCTCGCGAGAGGCGACATGCAAACGAGCAAACGCCCCCTCTCGCTGTGGTCGAGGGGATGATGCGGGGAGTAGGGGGGCTAGAAGCGCATGTGTGTGGCGACTGACTGCATGCATGGCTGCTTACGACTGTGGACGCATCCTGTCTCTTGCTGGGACTGCTGCCGACGCCGCTGCCCCACGGCAGCTGTGGCTGCGGCATAGCCGCTGGCTGTAGCCTGTGTTGTCTATAGGCGTCGGCGTACAGGTGAAGCGTGAACCCCACTACCTCCCTCACTTTGGAGTTCGCGTAAAGGCGCACCAGAGGCAGCAGCTGATTCGGAGCCCATAGATAGTCCTCGTAGACTCCCAGCAGCAGCGACAAAGAGCGAGAAGGACAGAGATTGCCGTTGCTTACCACCGCACGAAATGCGTGCGCCGCTACCTCGACTGGCAGCTTCTCCTGCAGATACAACAACAAGACACCCCCCGCGAACCAATCAACTTGCCTCCTCACAACGGAGACGAACAGGCATCTCTATCTTGACGAGGCTATCCCCGTGTCTCCGGCGCGTCATAGGGGAGAAGGGGGGCCCCCTTCAGCGCCTGCCTGCCTGTCTGTCCTGCAGACACCATAGACTTTACGCATTCTTTTCCCCGCTACAAACCCCCATTCTCCCTGAGCTACCGCCTCTTCCCCATGCGTCTCTAGCTCTGGGTGCCTATCTCTGCTTTTCCGCTGCTGCCCCCCTCCGTCCCCAACTGCCTCCTCCCTTCAACCCAGCCCTTTCTGAGAAGGCGATCCCGAACCTCCCCTCATCGCACCGGGTGTGCTGCAAACTCAATAAGCAGCGCATGCATCCTCGCGTAGAGGGCTATATGCTCCCTCGCCGCATTGTGCACCGTAAGTGTAAACTTCCGCTTAGTTCGCTCCTTCACCAGCAGCTCGTTCACCCTACGGGCTCCTCTCACGCCTCCTGAGGGGACGCCTGCAGGCAGCCTAGACCACTGCATCTCATCAAGTCTGGAGCTCGAGACAATTCCGCAGATGTCTTGAGACGTTGCTAGGCCCTGGAGCTCCAGCAGCCGCAGAAAGGCTGCGAGAGGAATACACCAGTGAAAGAACGGTTCGTCCGTGTGAGAGGAACAGCTCTCTTGATAAAAACAGGCAGCACTCGGGGATGGCGATACATACAGGGATTCACTTCGTAACACGACGACGACAGTCCCTCCACGAGTGCACGATTTTGTGGGTCTAGGCACGGGAGGTGTCTAGACAGTCGCGCGCACCCAACATGCGGGTAGCAGCTACGCAGCCGAAGTACGTGGAAAAACGTGCAATGGGTGGGCGGTCAAACCGGCAGGCAACAGTACGAGCAACAGTACGAGCGACAGAACAAGCAGGAGCTGCCATACACCCCTTTAGGAGAAAGTGTACTGCCACAAGGGCGGCCAAGAGACATGAAAGTGTCGCTCTGTTCGTCGCAAAACGCCAAAGTCAGCATAGCAGCTGCCGATGGCATGACAGGGATAACAGTCTCAAGACTCAGGAAGGGGAGTCCTCTCACCAGCCAGCGTGCTCCTCGCCTTCCGTGCATTCGCACTGCTTGCACTGCCCGCAATGAGATCCGCGCACTCTGTGACGCCATCCAGCAGCATCGCCAAGAATGGCTGCGGCAGCTGCTTTCCAATGCTTCTGCTGCCGATCTCGGAGGCCCCCTGGGGGCCCCCCAGTCTGGCGGTTCCCCCTCCCAGGGGGCCCAAAACATGGGCTAAGAAGGCTGCCGCCTTGACGAAATTGAGCGTGGTGTGAGAAGGCGCTCCATTGAAGCAAGAAGCAAAGGAAATGCAGCCGTCCATCAAGGCTGCATCCTTCGGGAACGCCACCGATGCTGGAGCCTTGCCAGCCTCCTCCGTGGCTCCTGAGACTGCCGCTGAGACGTCTGCAGTCAAAGTCTGAAATTGAGAATCCTCCGCCAGACGCTTCTCCGCAACCACTCGAGGCGAATTTGCTGCTCCCTCGGAGGCCAGGGTGTTGCTGCGTTCAGCTGTTGGCGCTTCTGCTGGGCACGTTTCTGTGAATCCCGTCGCGGGGGTGTCAGTTGCCTGTCGGCTGCTGCTCTCCTGGAGTGCCTTTTCGCCAGCAGCGGCAGCGGCTGCTGCTGCATGCTGCTCGTTTGCGCGCTCCGCCTTGGCTAAGTCATGGACAGCCTGCAGCAGCTGCAGCAGGTGCAGCACCGTGCGGGGTAGCACGTGCTGCTGGAGGAAGGCGACGGCCCCTTGTGGATGGAGGAGCCCCCAGGAGACACAATATACGAATTCTAGAAAGAAAGCAACGAGTTCGACCTCAGTTTCGGGAGCTTTCACAGACTGCAAGACACTAAGATCCACCAGCCGCACGCACACGCCGCACGAGCCAGTGACGCTACTGGGGTTCTGACAGACTTCCTGCAGCACGAGAGGCACCGCGGGCAGGCAGCGGCTCTTCCAGGCCTGCATGCAAACAGAATTCGCCCTTATACTGCGGCTGTACTACACTAGGGACCGCGGCACACACACATACACACATACGCCGACTGTACATACGTACATGCATATCGTAGGAGAGAAACGTGAGGCAAACCCCAGACCCCCAAAATCATTACTGCACACGCCACCTAAATCCATCACCCCTAAACAGCTTTGTGGCTACGCAGCACGCGCACCCTCGCAACAACACGCCGTCCTGCTGCTAGATTTTTATTTGCAACAAACATGATCCTCATGAGGGCAGTTTCAACAACGACTGTGCCCTCCTCATGAACTAACTCAAGGCAAACGCGGGACACCCACTCAGACGAACAAGCCTGGAAAAGCTGGAGTGTCCATACACCTGGGCAGAGACTCGGGGAAGACACGTTCATGCAGAGCTGTGGTGGTCAACAAGGCGAACTCAGATGTACAAGCTTCCTAGTGTCACTATATGTAAATGTAGCTTCCTCCGCACCTCCAAACGACGCTCTAAAAGCTCCGCAAAACGCTTCTCCGTTTCCTGAAGATCGCATTGCCTCTGCGGATCTACCAGGATACTTCGGTCTACCCCTGCATCCTGAGTGCCGCTGCTGATATTGCTGCTGCTGCCATGGCCATCGCTGATTGCCCTCACAGGTACATAACGGTGGGTTGCTGCAGCCGATATGCCTTGCAAGCTGCCCTCCGCTTGAGAGTCCTTTTGACGTGCGGTTGCTGCTGCTACTGCAGGCTGTTGCTTGGAATCCGCAGTCGTCATTGCGTCTCTCCCTTGATCTCACAGAAAAGGAGACAGGGACGAGTAAGGGGTGGCGGAAGGGGGTGAAAATGGTGTAAAAGTCAGAAACATGCTGCTGCAGTCTTTGCAGCCCCACCCACAAAGTGCGTCGAGCAGCAACCCTACGCCACTCGCAAGCAGGTTGTGCCTTTCAGTTGTGCCAAAATCTCGTCAACAAGGCTCCCTAGGCATCTCCCCAGTAGTTTTCTCGCCTTAACAAGGAGTGACGAAGGCCTTAGCCGGAAATAACGGAACTTACGGAAACCTAGCTCCAGAGGAAGCGCGAGTGCACGGAGATTGCACAGACATCAGTTCACCCTGCAGTTCTTCCAAAATGCAAACAATGTAAAACGGAATGTGCGGTGCTGCCAGATATTAAATACCAATTAAAGCCACTCTTAGCTGGGCAGGAATGCCAAAAGTCCACAGGCCTTTCTGGGGCTGCATGAACATGAGGGTTTTTGCATGTGTATGTTTCATCGATCGCGCTAGTATCCAGCTTCAATCGCTATTAAACAGTGTGTCTGTGACAAAAGAATCGACTAGAGATCCTTCTTGCACTCCAGTTATAGATTCAGCGAAGCTAACGTCCCTGGTTCACAACTTACGGAGTTGTCTCGCAAACACTCGCGGGAGAGGGACTGCACTGTTGAAGAGAACCGAAACGAATAATTCCATGCTCGTAGAGAATATAACCAGCGTTGAATGATTATGGGTCATTTCAAGTCTTCATATGAATACTAAAACTGTGTTGATTCCAACATTGCTGTGTGTTGTGGATACACTTACGCTTGCGCATGTGTCCCGCTACACGTGCTCGCACTTATTAGAGGCGCATTCCAGAATTAACCATATTGCTTAGATGGTCTTGTATTCATTTCTTTTCGGAAATAAGTCTGGCTCCACAAAACAGGCCCACGCGATGCTAGCCCCTATGCTAAGCCTCTTAGATGATGGGTGTGCATGAAAATTTCTATACTCCTCACGCAATGGATATACCTTCACCCTGACTATGCTTTTCCATTATAAACCTGAGGACCGTGTGTGTTTAGGCAAAAGGTGCAGGGAATTTTCCAAGAGGAATAGTGGCATTTCCCGAAGTTTCGTGTATGGCTTTGCTTGCGGGCCTCCGTATGGTGGCAATAAGAGCACCAACGCATAGCTAGATTCTTTAAAGGACAGCTAGTCTTATGATTTTGGTCTCACATATTCATCGAATGGAGCTCCTCCCATGATATCACAGCCAATTAGGCTCTACTTTGCTAAATCTTTATTACAGTTACTGTCATCGAGAGTGTTTTGGTGTAGCTTAGACCGACGCATCAAAAAGTATAGCATAAAACGAGTAAAAGCCATCGCGCCACCGTAAGCCTGACGGAACAGTCCCGTATTCCTTTTTTTGCTGGTCGTTAAACCCTTCATACCTTTTATGTCTCTTTACGGTAATTGCCCACTTTGCCCGTCTTATGCGTGTTGTTTTCATATATTTGCCCGCCTTGAGAAGATTAATAAAGTTTGAACTCCCCTATGGTCCTGCAACTTGCTACCGAACTTTCATTACTGCATGTGCTTGAATCGCTGCTTCCTTAACTAAACTTCTTATGCTTCAGTGTGTGGCCTGTACAGGAGGCTGATGCCGAAGCAAGGACACATATAAGCCGCCTTGCAATCCCTCCGGTACTTGCACTACCCGACTGTTAGCGTGTCCTTCTAAACGGGAGGGCGGGAGGAGGGTTTAGCAGGGTAAGGTATAGTTAGGCACGTCGTACCACACCACTCATATTTCAATGCGAATTAGTAAATAATTTACTAATTGCGTTGTCTGCTCGAATTATCGCAGAGAGATGTTAGCTCTACGCGCAAATGGGATGTTGTGTACATGTGCGCTAGTGGCCACATGCAGCCTGAAGTAAATGATCACAATGCTTAGAAGGTGCAGGTGGGGCCCACCCTAGCTGTTCGTCTCTTCTCATATCAGGAACCCTATGGGCTGTGAGAAAGGAAAGGATGAAGCTCTTTTGAAAACCTGCAATACGTTGAGCCTAGAATTACGCGCCTCCGTGCGGCACAAATCGTTACAGCTGGCAGAACCACATGGACTAGTGCAGCTGTTACCACCTCATCCGCTGGCTATGGATGCAGTGAGACGTCACGTTTTCCTACGAGAGTTGTCTAGAATCGATCACGTTACTTGGTACCTAGTAGCCTGCTTTTGTTTGGCAGCTGTGTGGGAAGAGAAAAGCCCTTTGGCAATAGAACTTTTGTGGTGCAAGGCCTTTCGCGGCGGTAGAGGCTGGCCTGCGAGCCGATGGCAACGCCGTCGCTCAACAACTCGTAGAAAGGCAAAGTCTGCCAGTCGCCAAAAACACTTATTGATGCGCTTAATGCAGACCAGAGAAGTATGATGGCTGCAAGCACCGGCAAGTGCCTGAGGCTTTCACTAACCGGTTGGAAATAAGCTTCCCCTTGTGCCTCCTCACATGTAAGGGCGAAATCGCTTCTTGCGATCTAATTTCGAATCTGGGCCCTTAAATGGTGGCTTGGTCCATGCGGACGAAGTTGCCTACCTGTAGAAACTACTACAGCTCAAGCCTTCATGCAGTCTGGATATGGCGGTTCATGGAACCACCGGCCCTACAGCAAGCCTAGAGAAAAAATTTAAAAAGCTGCTGCAGGGGACTCTGACAAAGATCTCTTGAGCAAAAAGGCCCAACTTTGGCTCGCAAAAGCCACGACGCACACGAAAAGATGCTTGATCTAACGCTTATCTTGCATTTGCCAAAGTATCGTGTCAGGTGGTGGTAGATATGGAGGGACTTGGCGATTGAGCAAATGGCCGATGAGGCTTACAAAAATGATGAAATTCTTGAGGCTACTCAGGCAATGGAGCGCACATCCTGCACGTTTGGGTGAGAAGGAAGAACAAAGAGGGGATATAGAAATCAGGGTGTCGGGTTGTGCCAGTCGGGCCGAGCCTACACTCTACGGTGAACACTAAAGGAAAGCCAGAGGGTGTCCGAGCTGCAAAGCATCCTTAGAAAAGCAGCCGCGAACGTGTCTGCCTTTGTTATGGGAAATTGGTTAGCATATGATCGATCGGCAGGCGCATGCAAACAGCAAAAGACCTGGAACAATGAGACTCTGCCCAGCAGAAGCAAAGTGTTTGGCAAGCGAAGGCGGTGCATCAGCGTAAGGGCAGGCCCTCATGTAGGCTGTAGCGCAGTGAATGTGGCCACAGAGAATAGACCCGGAGTTGGAATCCATTCAAGGACGAGCATGCGCAGATGCAAATTCACATGATTAATGAAAAATCGCGAATGCTCCCCAAACAGGAGATATCAAATCAGCCTATTGTTGGAGACGGTGCACACGTGCAATCTGCCTTCGCACATTAGCACAGTCCCTATTAGGTGAGCTGGCGGGAGGCAGATATCAAGGGCTGACAAGCCTGCAGCACTTTACATCCACTTCAGATCGGCGTCCTGTCTTCTCAACATGGTCCGTGAGTTCTTGGTTTTACGGGTGCACCATGATGTAATCATTGGTTTGTCATGTGCGCTAACAGCAGGTCAGCATGCGTTCAGCGCCATGTGCTCTGGAGGCCTGTGCCGGGAAGCAAGCAGGTCAAGGACCTCCTGGTATCCTTTAGAATGCTCATTTCATCTATGGCAAGCAGGGTGGACTCGGTGCCTCAACTGGGCAAGGCAGAGTCTCCATGTAGTCCGCTCAGCAGAGCAGGGGGAGGAGACGACCCCTACCCTGCACCCCGTCTTAGTGGCTCCGCAACGGGTTCTCTACCAAGAGTTTCGGTTGCGTGTTTAGCCAGATAACCGCAGGAATAAGCGCATATCAAGGAAAAATGAATATGAACTAGAAACTGCAGGCATCGAGGCTTGCTGTAGGGCTCATCATTTGCACATATCACGGCTTCACAAAATCCTGACTCGTCGGTTCATTCAATCCGTGCAAGTGACAACTCGCTCGAATAGCGCCGCCATTTAGGTACTCCTCCTTCCGATAGACACGCCGTGGCGTGCGTTGGACTGCTTTCGTGTAAGGGGGCACAAGGGAATGTTTATCCTCAACCGGTTGATGAAAGCCTCAGGCACTTGCCGGTGCTTGCAGCCATCATACTTCTCTGGTCTGCATTAAGCGCATCAATAACTGTTTTAGGCGGCTGGCAGACTTTGCCTTTCTACGAGTTGTTGAGCGACGGCGTTGCCATCGGCTCGCAGGCCAGCCTCTACCGCCGCGAAAGGCCTTGCACCACAAAAGTTCTATTGCCAAAGGGCTTTCCTCTCCACACAGCTGCCAAACAAAACCAGGCTACTAGGTACCAAGTAACGTGATCGGTTCTAGACAACTCTCGTAGGAAAACGTGACGTCTCACTGCATCCATAGCCAGCGGATGAGGTGGTAACAGCTGCACTAGTCCATGCGGTTCTGCAAACTGTTACGATCCATCGAAGGTGCCGCGTAGTGACACGTAACTGTAGACTCAATGAAAACCTTATAGAAAACTACTGAATGTTTTTCAAAAGAGCTCCGTCCTTCCCTTTCTCACAGCCCATAGGGTTCCCGATATGAGAAGGGAGAGAAAAGCTAGGGTGGGCCCTAACTGCACCCTGTCGGCAATCTAAGCCTTGACAGCTCGTTGCACATAGCATTTAACGCACATGCACATAACATTTGCGTCTTCGTATATAGAGCTAACACTACTCTGTAAGAAATACGAACAGACAACCAATCTGTAAATTCTTCACTGTCTCATAATTGAATAGGACTAGTGCAGTAGGAAGTGCTTGAGCGTAGCTTAGCCCGTTACTTTGGATACGTTGCCGACCTTACGGGGAAATGTTGCATCTTCAGGACGGCGGCGGAGGCCATGAACACGACGCCCCGGCTTTCACTTCGAAGCGTGAAAGCTGGGTGGAGGTTGCTTGATATGGATCTAGGTGCCTACGTGCAAAGCTGCTGGAGCACGTAAGCAAAATGCCTTAGAAGGGGCCATATGCCCTAGGCAGCAAGAATTCGCCGTTCAGTCACGGTCCGGAGAGCTTTACCGTCGGGGCCCTCCGTGGATGCGACAAAGTCTCGGTCCCTTTGGTTATAAACGCTCTTCATTGGGTTCCATGGCTTTAATTGGCTGACCAACAGGTACCAAGGGTCCCTTCGTTTGGCCTCTTCGAAATTCTGTTATTCCACTGCAAAGCACGAATGCCCGGGCACCGTTCGTTCGATATATACACCTGATATCCCCAGGAGGTAAGACTTTAGGGTTTACCGCGTTTCTAGCCGGAATGGCAGATAGCGATTCGAATTGGCCCTCACCCTCTCGTGTTAGTCCATACAGAAACATGTGCAGGACGCATAGATTGCCACCGCGGTATGCCATACGAATAGGTACTGCGGGCTTTGGTGCCGCAACGCCACTGGCTAACCAAACGTGTAAGGCAGCCCACTGCTTCCCCCAGATAAGAAACGTCACCACGTGTGCCTTTTTGACAAACGCACACTTCGAGTGCATCGTCCGACCTCCTTAGGGTAGGGTGCCCGACGGGAATGCCTACATGTAAACAACAGCAAAATGCCGTCGCTGCTGTCCCTGTCAGCGGCTAATAGGAGAAGCTTCTCGCCAGCCATGGTTTGCTATAGCGCTGAGGGGCAATGCTCACAGGCAGCCGTGCTGCTTTCAGGATATCCAACTTCAAAAGAGGCATTATGCAGCCCATTGAGGCCGGCACAAGCAGAAGGGGCCTGCAGTTCCCGTGGCCTTAAACGGCATCAAAATTGGAGAGATACACCCCCCAGGATAGAGGCAGCTGCTCCAGCGGCAGGGAGGCTTCTTTTATATACGCACGGGAGATCCACACAGAAACACAGTACATCACGTAGGATGCCCCCAGAATAATATGCAAACCTCAAAGCCGTGTGTGCTCCATTAAAGTTCTGGCTCCTACACACGGACGGGCCTGTAGCGCTCCGCGTGCGCTTGAGCACCATATTATGGACCCCACACTCCAAAGAGGAAGTCCTGTTAGCTGCCGTCCTACAAGACTCTTTGCGTTGCTGACGACAAGCTGCTGCCCGTACAGTAGTGCTGATGCTGCTGTTGCAGCAGATCGAAATAATTTAGTCTTGGACCCATTTTAGGCTCCCAATGCGGCTGCAGCAGTTTCTGCATCGACACACTACTACAGGCCTGTCTTCCTGTGGTGTAAGCTGCTGCTACCATGCAGTAAAACGGCTCGCTTTTCAAGACACTGTCCACTTCCTCAACAGTACTAAACAAAGGCATGCTGATTGCCGGAGAGCTTACTTCTTGCTAGACTCCCATGGCCTAAACCCGGCATCAGCCAGGCGCTTTGCAAGGACCGCGCAATCAAGGGCGAAGGCTATTAGCTCCCCGTTGTTCACAGGCTGGCCAGTGAGCCGTTCGACGAGCTTGGGGTGACCCGTGAGTATGTATCTAGAAGCTGTTTCTACAGCACATATGGAACGCAACAGAGAGAGTCCCCGTCGCAAGACACTTGAATCCGGCTCAACGTAGTCAGGTTCTGTCTCTTCGGGTGTAGACCATACGGCCCTCTGAAATGGTGCTTCGTGCTGCGCAGAGTCTCTTAGGAAAGAGAAGGTCACCATGAGACTCTCTAACCGCCGACTGCAATTCGCCCCTTTGGGGTATGCAAACTTATCCAAAGACTGCAGCAATTCTGCCGCCACTGCAGCCTCCGTGTCTGACTTTGCCTTCTCCCGTGCTGATGCCACTTCCTCTTCAAAAAAAGCTGGAATCGACCCCAGGCCTCCTATCTGGCGCTCCTTCCATCGGATACCATAGTTCGCCACAGCGCAGTCAAATATATCACGTTGGAATCCATTTTGAATGCGCAACGACTTAGTTTTCTTCAAGATAACGGGAAAGGACTCCCCCACATCTCCGGCCGTCTCTACAACCTCCCGCAAGTGAGGAACCGCCATCAGGCGCACATCGGAGCACATGTACCCGTCCTCCTGTTGATGCGCATATGCTCCTCCAGTCGCAGACTGACAAGCCAGAGTCTCTAGATGATCCGTAAATGCCTCTAAACAAGTCTCAATGCCAGACTGCAGTGTTGACGTAAAAAACCCGTCTACGCAAGTCTGCATGCGCTGGTCAGGGGGCAAGCTTTTCACCATCTGTGCGAATTTGGCAAAGATGCCGTGCAGAGCCTCAACTTGCAATCGTCCGTCGTCGCTCAACTCGGCTACACCATCGCTTGGGTTGAAAAATCCAGCGTGCTGCTTTCTTAAGTTTAAGTACATCACAGCTGCAACAGCGGATGGGGAGTACACACAGAAATACATGTATGTTGACACATAAACACACACACACACACACACAAAGCGAAGCATACATACAGGAGAGAAAGGCGCAGGGGTGAACAGAGAGAACCCCCCTTCCCCGACCCCCGCGTCCCCTTCTGCATGGCCGCTAAATTAAGTTCACTACATCTTCTCCGGATATTTTAGATCAACTCATCATACTAGGATTGCAGGGGTGCAAAACGCCCTTAAGTTAAATGCAAACAGTTCTTCAGCGAGTAGGCAAGCAGGCAAGGAGGGAGCTCCAAAGTGCATCGGGGCTTACAGCGCTGAGAGATCTGTCTGTTGCTAATTATTTCCTCTCCTCTTCCAGCTGTCATAAATATGAGAAGCTTCTTCGACCCAGATATGTTCTGCTGTGCAAAGAGCCTAAAGGCCTTTAGTAGCTCCGAGGCATCCCCAATGGCCCCAGACATGCCCATAGGAAACAAAAACTTTCTCGGAGAACACGCCAAGTCTGTTTCTGTTACTGCTTTCTCGTCCACTCCTTCTGAAAAGCAGAGTCAACGCACCAATCCGGATGGAGATGCTGATCCAGCAGCTAGGGCAACACAGGCTGCCAGCAGCTCGCGTGCGTCCTGTGCCCTTCTGCAAAGACACTGGGTCATCCGGAAACACTATGTGCATGCCAATAGAAAATGACAAGGTGATGATCATGAAATCTTGTGAAATTGGTTTCTCACAAGGACAGACATTGCGGTGCAGTGTTGCTGCGCCTACCGTGGAACGAACTCCAGAGATCTTCCGATGCAGAATGATCTTCTTGTGTGGAGTCATCTGTAGACGCCTGGAGGTCACGAGCGAAAACATGGAAAGTCATGTATGTTTTGCTGTTTAACGGGCTGACTCGTGCCAAGCGCCTGTGCGTGGCTCCCCCGACGTCCTACGTGAAGGCAGTTGGGCCTAGCAGTCTACCGCTGTGATAGGCTGCTCGGAGGAGGAGACAACATACCTCTCGATGATCATACGGTGCCTGTTCAAGCCGGTCGAAGAGATTAGGGGGTAGGCGTTGCCCAGGAATGAGTGAATTAGACCCTTCTTGAGAACTCTGTAGCCCGAGAAAACGTTCAACTTCCAATCGCCGAAGAGCGATGCCGCTAGCCCCGAAGTCATTGCCTCCTATGGAATGAAGTGAAAAGTCGATTTCATGCCCCAAAGAGTCGTTATCGCTGGCCAGAACAGCCAGAGAACTTACTAGCCCTATATAAGCCAAACAGGACCGTGCCCGTCGCATTGTGTCGTGGGAGGAGATACAGCCCCGGGCCTCTTTGGAAAGCTGGACTCTGCAAATGTAGAAAGAGTTATGTTTCAGATGGGGCACAGAAGAAAGCAGAGAAACGTGAAGGACTCTGCATCGATCATCCCGCCCTGCACCAGAGCGATGGGGGGCCGCGAAGGGAACAAACACTGCAGTCCGAAGAGGGGCTTGACAAGCATGCAAAGTTTCTTCAATTTGATTCTGCAGCAATGCACTTGAAAAGGGAAATCAAGAAATCAAAAGTGCTGCACCAACGTTAGATCCCTGGGTTATTCTTGCTCAATCGGGGCTGGGCCTCCTGGGCACTCCAATACTGGGGAAGCTGGAACGCTCACCGTTTATCGCGGTCTAAAATTGCCTTAGCTCCAGAAACAATATCATCTTCATCATTGGAGACAATATTAATGCCCCTACCAACGTAGCTACTGTAGTAATCCGACCGTGCCTCCTGGCCTAGACAGCGTACACCACCTTCCCTTGCCCCTGTAGCACTAATCCTGTGCATTGTGTGAAAGCCCAGCCATAAATGGGCTGTCCTGTATCTTCTGACCAATTTGGAGTCAGCCCTTAGCTGAACTGGGACTCCTGTTGTCCTTTCGGCCCCTCAGCTTTGCTCAAATTCGCTGCTATCCGGTGTATTCCGGGCAAGTCTTTGCGCTCCGTCACCACTAGCTGACTAGTTCCCTTTCCCCGCATGATAACTATGCAAATACAATTATTGTATTATGGTCTGCTAATGCACAAAAGGTTTTTCCAGGACACCGTCTGAATTGCATATCACCAATGCAACGGCCAACAGTACATTTGGTGTGTGACGAGCTCAGCGACACCTCGGTACTTTCTAATGTAATAGTCCTGTATAATACTGAAATTGGTTACGATATCAATATTCCATCTATCTGTTGGTACATAGCTCTAGCTCAATGCAAGACGACCCAATTTTGCGAGTGTATACGCTAGAGGCAATGCGCATCTAGATGCGAACGATTGGAGTGCTTAGGGGGTGCAGCTACGCCCACCCTAGCCCTGCCTCTTTCCTCATATCGGCAAGTCTTGGGGGACGAGAAAGAGAGCAGAGGGAGCTCCAATTGAGGAAGCAAACTCTCCGTTTGCTTGGTGTTGACTTCGGGGAAGCGCCTCCCAATGTCGACCATGGATGAATCGTTACAGTTTGCAGCACCTAATGATTCGGTGCAGCTATTACCGCCTCATCCACTGGCCGTAGTGATAGCAGGATGTAAGGTTGTCCTTCACCAGTCCTCTAGATTCGCAATTTAACGGGTTTCTGATTATGTTTGGCAACAGTTTAAAGAAACGTTTCTGACGATGAGAGCTTTGGTGGCAGAAGGGCTGCTAAGGTGGCAGGGGTCGACCTGCACGCCAGTCAGGACATTCGCACTACAAGCAGGTAGGCATGCTCTAGTCGTCAATAAAATGTCGGAGTAGTCGTATGAGGCTATGTTGACCAGAAAAGTATGGCAGCTGTGGGCATCTGAAAGTTTATCACCTTGTGCCCCCTCATATAAGGAGGCAAGAGTGCTTTTGGGAGTTGCCACCACTGAGTCGATCCTTGCTTCACTTCAATGGTGGCCCCACTCGTAAGGAAAAGTGGTAGTTCGTCTGCATGCATTGATGGCTATGTTCAAGCCTTTATACAAGCCGTGACTCAATAGGTTCATGCAATAGCCAACTCAACATCAAGCTTGGAGAAAACTACGAAAGCTGAGGCAAGGAAATTCATGGGTCTGCCGCTACCCTTATGCGCCTCCTTCCTACCTTGTTGCACCTCCTTCGCGTGCTAAGCACTTTTCTTCTGCTGGGCAGCGTCTCACTGTTCTAGGTCTTTGGCTTTTTCTATAAGCTTGCAGATCCGGCATGTATTTTCCGATTTCCCATAATTGGAGTAGATGCTGTGTTGGGGGCTTGTCTGGCTGCATTGCACTTCGGGTTCCGCAGCCTTTCCCTTGGGGTTCACACTAAAATGTAAACTAGGGCCGGCTGATACAGCCTGACCTGAAGTTTAAAAAGATTCTACATTGTCATTTTGTTTTTCCTCCTCATCCAAAGACGCAGGATGTGCGATCCATTGCCCATGCAACCCCATGTAGTTTAAATGTGTAAGCCTCACCGGGTAATGGTTTAACCGCAGAGTCTCTGATTGTCTTACGACCGCGTGGCACGACACCTCGCGTAAACGGAAGGTATACCACCGAATAAGCGTCTTTTCGTCTACGTGATCTTTGTGAGCCAGAATTTCTTTTTCACGCAATACCTATCTATTGATAGATTCCCCTGCTTCAGCTTTCGCAATTCCCTCAACCCTTACTTCCGAGCTGACCATTGCATTAAACCAATGAATCATGGCCTGTGTGAAGCCTTGAACTAAGCTTTCAGTGCAGGTAGACGACCTCCCGCCTCTACGTACAAGCAGCCTAGAACTCAAGCTTTTCTGCTTCCAGTCGACAAAATGCAATGAGCACTGCTTTCCCTTTATCTGGGCGAAACCTAGAAAACGAGGTACAGCTGCTAAGTGATGAGATATTAGAGTATTCGCGGAAGCTTATAGCCGTCATACTTTTCTGATCAGCGTAGCCTCATCCGTTTGTTTGGTCCATCATTAGGTTTTTGATAAACTGTATCATTCTTCCCCTTTATTTCTCTTCGTGGGCGAGTAAACACTTTTTTCTTCTCGTTTGCATTGTTTCTTAGTTTCTGCCTGCCTGGTTAGTGGGGATAGGCCGAAAACTCTTTTTTGTTGTACGCGTAGGTAGTCTCTACGCACAATTATGGATCAAGAGGGCGTTTGCCTGAAGTGTCTTTGGAAACACTTAGCAAGCTGAGCTACACTTCGGCACTTTTTACTGTACTAGCGACGTCTAGTTAAGAATTAGTAACAAACTACGTGTTCAGGTTTCCATATATTTTTCCTTGATTGAAGAATAGCTTCAGTTCAATTTAGCAAGATGCGAAATTGTGTATGTCTGATGTAGATGCCATGTGCAGCTGGCTGTGGATGCACCGAATGCTTTCTTGGTGCACCAGCGCACTCCCTAGTTGTCCACCCCCACACATACCAAAACCTGGAGAGCTGAGGGGAGGAAGAAATCTCTTTTTGTAGAGCAGACAATATCTGTCTAATAATTTTTGGTATTAACGCTGGAGTCAAGTATCTCATTACTGAGACCTTACATGAAGCGCCACATGCAGTGTACCGGGCCACTCTGCCTCTTTGTTTTTGAAGATATCCTAGGAATTGGCTGGTTGCTTCGGTTGTCTGTATGCGCGATTTCGCCCAATCGGGTAAGCTTCAAAACTGTGTGAACGGATGGTACTTGCTGTGGGGCACGTTGCAATATGCAGCTGGGTGTATGTGTGGAAAAGCGACACATGCGCCAGCTGCGCTCTGTTTGCAGGATAGAGTCTGTGGGATAAGAGCGCATGGAAGCATATCTCAGGGTCTGTAATAGATGTGTATAAAGTTTTTTCCATTGGCTTTGGACTAATGGTCTCCTTATGAGGGCCTTACAAGGAACACTACACTTGGGCAATGGGATTTGCGCTTAAAATTGACCGTATGAAACGGCTGTCCCTATATTCTGTTTGTCATGGGGCAGGGTAAAGTACACACCATAAGCCCATAATATGCTGACCCAAGCACTAAACATCTTTAGTGGGACTCCACGCTAACATCCACATTCCTTAGAAGGTGCAGTTACTTGCGTCCTAGCCTGTTTTTCCCTTTTTATCCTGAAACCATTAAGGAAAAAAGCATCTATATCTCTAAGGGAATTAATGGCATTCCTTTAGGTTCCAAGCATGCTTTAAGCCCGCTGCTCTTGGTATGGATGTTAGTAGAAGGAATCTTAAAATAAACCGTATAGCTTTAGAATAGGATATTCTAAAAGCAGGGTAAGTGAACAGCGGGGTGAGCTGTCTAACACTGACTGGATTCATGTGCCAGCCCACGCGTTCAAGTGATCATCTATTAGGGTAAAAGGAAGTAGAAGTGCAGCATTAGTGAGGTATGGAGCCTCACAACTCTTTAGAATAGCCATAATCAATCGTTGAATGCCGAGGGATTCAACATATCTAAGAGTGCCTGTTGTCGAAGTATGCGATAGCTGTACGCGCTGTCACCACGTCGCGCTGCAGAAAGAATTTTCGTTTTATATTATGCGCCCTCAGCTCTAAAGATGTTAGCATCAATATGTAGCCGTTGGTTTTAGGCCTGAGGAAACGTCTGCTACAAGACCATATATGCTGACAGCAAAAGGGAGCTGGATGCCCTGCACTTCGAATTTATCGCAAAACCTATCGCTCTCAGTGACAAAAGGAATAAAAAAAGACTCTATTGTCGGCCGCAGTTGTTTGCACACCTAGAGTACAGATGCTTGTGAATCCGTCACTCATGGCAGGGGCTCGAGTGCTACCAGGGAAGGCAGGAGAGACGGTGGGTTAGGAACGGAGACACCGGGGAGGGCTGTTTTAGTGAGGGAATGCGACGCCAAGCAGGTGAAACAGATGGAGAAGTTAGGTAAAGCCTCCTTGATCTTCAGAAATCAGTTGGTGCGCAACTATGTACTTTGCCAGTTTGTGCGCTCCTTGCACAGCATCGTGCGTGGAGGTAGGCCTTCCTGCATATGCACACCTCCCTAAAGCACCAGGCACTTGTATAGCGGGCATCTTTTGCACATCCGGAGGGTCCCATCTCTTCTGAAGCTATTGATACCCTTTGCCATACTCCTTGGAGAGTGCTCTTGAAGTGCAAGCCCCCTAAAGGAATCGTCACGCTCACCAATGCTGATACGAAGAGAGCCCATAGCCCATTCTTCACTGATCCCCATGGCAACCAAGGCGCCGGAGGCGCTCTTGCCCTGGTGACAGCTAACGCCGGCTGAGATAAGCATCCCCTCCTCCTTCTGCAGGTGCAATACACTGCATAGAAGACTAATGACTATGGACAGGCGGAGCACCGACGGCAGCGTGTGGCTTCTCTGAAGTAGCGCTACACTACGCATGAGTCGTGTCCAGCAGGAGGGAGAACGTTTAGCTTTTTCTTCCCAAAAACCTCATGAAAGCAAACCTACTGCGAGACCCTGGGATACTTCTACACCATCTGCATTCTTGATGGAAAGATGGATCGTCCCCGGGAGCCACTGCTGCTGCACAGTGAAGTCTTCCGATCCTAGCGGCCCGTTGATACTTATCCACTCGGACACTGCAATTGTAACCCGCATGCACTCCTTCGTTTCTCCTCTTCACGCTGATTCCGTTGGACAGCTGACTCATTTAATCATAGGAAAAGTCATAGGGGTAGTGCGAGGGAAGGGCTGCGGAAAGGCATACACTTTTTTCTGTTGGCTTTGGTGGCGCCTTCAAGAGCTGTCCACAGTGCTTCCACGAAGACTCTGGCAACGAAGCCTAGATGCGTAGGGTGCAGCAATTGGGGATTTGAAGACTCTCGAGGCTTCGTGCTGTCAGCATGAGCAGCAGCTAGATTGGCGGCAGTCACAACATCTTGGTGAGTGGAAGATACCCGCGGCTGTTGCCAGCTCTTGTGGATTAGTTCGCTCGCCTGGGCAAGCCCGATAATGAAGGCCACGTTTTCCGTGCCCTGCGTAAAGAATACGCAGGTTGGCAGTTATTAGCAAAAGCAGGGTGCAATACAAGAGGCCAGTGGGGATGTGCCCAGCAGAGCGCCATCGGCTTTAGGGGACCTAGAAGCTCCTACACACTGCTGCAGCTGAGGGAAACACGATCTGCTTACCCCTCTTAGGCCTCTCTCTTGACCGCCACCCAGGATGAGGGGAGGTAGCTGCAGGCTTTCACGAATATACAGCGCGCCGATGCCTTTTGGAGCATACACTTTGTGGCCCGCAACTGAAGACAAGCGGTCCGCAGAATGTCACAGCAAAGACACGTGGTCTTGCCAAAAAAGGCCACCACGTTGCACCCTCTTCGCAGTGCTCAGACGATGGAAGCGCATATTCCTGTCACAATCTTAGAGTGGCATGCGGAGAGAGAGCTGCTGACCGTCAGCGAAGGCCACGACCCTACTCAATCCACATCGAAAGGAGCAACCACGGGGAGTGGGTGTCCATACTTGTTAGGAGATCTACGCCAAGAGACTCGGGGTGTACAGGCACCTTGCCGAACGCCTGAGAGGCATCAGCGTGGATCAGTGCAAGCGGGCAGGCAGAGCGGACCAAAGCTACAACCTGCGCAGAAGAAAGGACGAACGAGCATTTAGTATACTGGCATCTCGCTAAGACCTCCTTTTGGGGTGGCCACCGCTTAGCTCCTACCGATGCGAAGCGCCTAACAGCATATTTTGCAGCTTGGCAGGCTGAACTGAAAGCGCAGGGAGACAACTACTGGCCTTTTACGACCAGCCCATAAGTGCAGGACTCCCACCGCATGTACCTCTTTCATGGGCTGCACGGCACCAATCTCTCCATTGGCAAAGGGGATACTGACAACGACAGTCTGCAGACGCAAAATACCTAGTTGAACACAGAAACGCTGGAAGAAACAGCCTCAGCCGGACTGGGAAAAACCAGGAGCGCCACACAGCTGCGGCAGAGCAGCTGAAGAAAAACAGAACCGACGACAGTGTTTAAAGCGCGGTACAGCAATACACGCGGCGGCAGAAAGTAAGCAGCGTTCCAGAAGCAGCTAAGCATGGCTTAGACACCGTGTGATCCGTACGCATGGCGTAAGCAGGTTCTTCAGCTCAGAAAGGTCAACCAGTCCGGAGGAGGATACTCGGCAAAGACAAAGCTCATAGCCATCCTCGTCCTGTAGCCGAGGAGAGTCCCCAACAAAGAAGAAGACCATACGCAGTGCGAACAATGAGAAAATTGATTTGGCTTAGTCAAGGCCAGGCTGCTGCATAGGAAAAAGGAACATGAGGTCGAGGGCGAAGGTGAACAGACGGCCAACCCAATGTCTTTGTTGGGTGTGCGGCGGCAGCTTCTGATACGACAGCTAGCATACCCGTGTAGCTTTGTCTGAGGATGGAGGGGAAATAGCTCACGCGGAGATGCTCACAGACGCGTAGCACTGCTGGATGCTCCAGTGCACAAGTTACTACACGCCCCGGCTTGGCTGCCCCCGAGATCCGTCGCAGCTTAGCCGCTGAGCGAAGTGCCCAGTTGATACTTTCTGCAATATTGGCAGCGATTCAGAGTCAATAATACAATCATTTTTAAATATCAGAATCCAGATCAACCAAGAGGTGGCTGTGGTGGAAGCAAGGCAGCAGGAGCGAGGGGTCAACATGAAACGCGGTAATACCCGCTATTGCCCAGCAAGCGCCCTCTGCATGCAGCTGATGCTGCGAACGAGTACCGCGAAGTTTTGCAGCTCTCTGGCCGCAAACGGAGATGTATGTAGGAGGTAATGCGCGGCTTACCAGTGGCACCGCTGGTAAAGACAATGCACTTAGGAGACGTCCCTAAGGCCTTCGCAACTGAACATCTGGCCTCGGTCACCTGCTTTCCAGCATCATAGCCGAGAGCATGTTTGCTTGAAGGATTACCAAATCGTTCTGCAGGAGAAACCAACACAGCGAGCCGAGTGCGGTGAGAGGTCCCATGAAAAGGAGCGCAACACGTGTGAGCGCGGCTATTGAAGCGGTCATCACAAGTGATGCAGCAGCAGAAGGATGGAGGAGGACAGTGTAGCTACGGTATCCTTAACGAGACAGGGCGCTGCGGGGGCTCTTCGTTGGATTACCCTCTAAGAAGCAACTGAGTGCGTTGAAGACCCTAGGATCCACAGGAGTTGTTGCGTTGTAATCGAGGTACAGAGTACCACCGTGCAGCCCATTTTGCGCCATATTTGGACAAGCAGGGAGTAAGAAGGGTTCCCGGGAGCGGTCTGGGATCTCATGCAGCTTCGCGCCACGAAAAATAGGTTTTTGGAAGCAATAGTGGGGTCAGCCAGCCGCGTGGGAGTGGAAAGGGGAGGTGAGAACAGTTCTAAGTCATGGCCAAGAATTCTAAATGGAATGTATCTGGGGTTTACTCATACTTGCACTGATGGAAGGCCGTGTCTGTGGCCCTCAGATGCAAAGGGGCCCCTCCTTGCGTAGCAGAGAATGACAGACCCCCTTGCCTATATGTCCAGTGCGTCAGCAGCATTCACATCCGCGTGTAAATGGGTTTACGTCCTAAATATAAAAGAATGATATAAGGTAATGCGTTGAAGAACTACACAGTCTCGGAATATACCGGTTGTGTATGCTGGAGTGGTGCTGGGAAGGTAGCGTGGGCGGCCCCGTGGCTGTAACGCCCCCAGCGTTTAGTGAACAGTTCTTCAATTTTAAAAAAGTTTCTCCATCTGTTGACCTCTCAAGAGGTTTGTGTGTCGCTAGGAGACTAGGCGGCCAATATGTGGGGCTTTTGTGGGTTATTAGTCGCCGGCATGTCACCGCGCATGTGGCCATGTTGCCATCTGTGAGCATTGACTTTGCGTCCGCTCTTCATTCATGTGAGGAAGCGATTTGTCTCTGTGAATAACCATCGTCGCCCACTAACTTCTGTTTTCAAACTTGTCGACGTGTATCGAGCCAGATCTGCTCGCCGCGGCTGCTTTCTTTCTCCTGTCCCAGCTACGCAAGAGCCACAAGTAGCAGGACGCCTTTGGGGCGTACGCGCCGGTGACCGTCAATGCCAGCACGCCACTCTGCACCTCCTTCTGCCACTTCTTTCCCTCTTTGGATTAGTTCACTTGTGTTTGAGTCATCAACAGAAGGCTGACCTGCCTTCGGAGAACCCAGCCACTACAGGCCTTCTGCTTCCAGCTAATACGAGCTGGGCTAATGGTTCGGAGGAGTGCCAGCTGCCCACGCCCCCCATTCGAGACTGCCTTCCGTTTCGTATTTTTCCAGCTCTTTTTTGCTGTGGAAGGCAATTCTTTCGGAAAATCTTGCGGCAGGCGCGTTCCTCACTGGAGCTGGGATTCGCCGCCCCCCTGTGGTAGGGTCACCGACTCATCCAGGCCGCTGCCTTGGTGGTTCTCCCGGAGAGTACTCAAGGACTAACTCTTTGCCTATTCAGACTGTATCAGAGTTAAACTCTTCTAAGCAGCCTTGGGGAGGTGGACGCTTAGCTACCGCTTGCGGCAGGAGTGCTGCTTGTTCCAGGACGCCGAGAGCGGCGGCAGGAGGACGGGCACTCAAGAGCTTCCTCTGTTTACCGTCATATCTGGACCTGTGTGTTTTATTCTTTTTTGAATTTTCGCTTATCTCCAGTAGTTACACTCACCGCGCACTGCGGTCACCGCTTGGGATCGCCAGCTACCTGCAGGCCTCTGCGGCTGCTGCACCACGACTACAGCAACTAAATGACGGAACCTGCAAGAGCTAGAGAGGGTAAAAACCCCTCCAACGAAGCCGAAGAGCCGCGTCGGGTACCTAGTTCAGGCCATCCGAAGGCAAAAGAAGAGCAGGAAAGTTCGTCTTGTGGAGGGACTACGTCAGCAGAGAGCCCACGGGAAGCGACTCTCGGAGAGTACAATCTGGGGGCATGCAGCGGGATGCCTGCCGATGGATGGGCAGAGGCTTTGAGTGTTGCTATCCCTATGGAGGTGTGCGACGTCGAGAAATCTGATGAGCAGAAAAAGGAAGCTGACACCGGTGGCCACTCCTGGTTGCCCTCGGCTGACTCTATGCTTGCACACAGCAGTTCACACCGAGCTCCTGTAAATGGGAAGCTTTGTAGGAGTACAAGCTCTACATCAGGCTGTTATCCAGTAAGTTCTACTCACGGTTGCGTCGGTTGTGTTATTTCTTACAAGTGCCAATCACTGCCATAACTCTCTTCTCCTGTTTTCCTTAGGAACACATTGAGTGAAAAAAAACGCAGGCTCCACACACTTTTCCGCTTCTGCTTGTGCTGTAGAGCGAGCCTGGACCTAAGAGCATGGCTCGTAGGGCTGCAGCAGCTGCCGTAGCTGCAAATAGCTGCCGCGGCGATGATCCCACCCCGTCACGGCTACCCCACCGGTCTGGCCTAGACCGCACAGCGAAAGGAGTAGCTGCTGGATACAAACAAGCAAGCAGCACATGCGGCATTAGCACAAAGCATGAAGGAGAGGGTGGCCGGGAACTCAGAGACACTGATCTTACTACGGAGGAGTCTGATGAAACCAGTGGTAGTGTCCATTCCTTCAAAGATGGTGATGAGACTTATGAACGGCTCAGAAAGAGCCGTGCAGAACGGCGGAAATCTACAGATCAAGATACCGATGAGGGTCCAGGTTCAAATGAGGAATCTTATGGGACACAGCTGGAAACCCCATCGAGGGGACTGGGGAAACGTTCTATAAAGCGGCCTGCTCGCTATGAAGACTGGCTTGCTGAAAATGAAGACGAGCATGCAAGTCCAGCCGTCCCGCCAGCCAGGATGCCGCACCAGAAGAGGTGCCGCGGAGGAACTTTTCCCGTTCCAAGGGTTGTCAAACGCAAGGAAGAACCTGTTGAGACTTGCCCAGCTACGTCTGAAACGCCGGTGCCACGCCCTAATGCTAGGGGAAGCGCCATAACTACACGGAAGAGGAGGCTGATGCCATGGCTTGACATGGCAGCCGTTGAAGCGGTTGCTGCAAATTGTGTTGCTAAGCCGCTTCCCGATAGCGACCGCGCGATAGCGACAGGGGTGGCTGCCGCTGCTGCTGCTGCTGCTGCAGTAGCAGCGACTACGGCGGTAACCTTCACGCCCGTCTCCGCTAGAGTCCTCTCAGGTAGAGGAGCCTCTGCCTCTGATGGAATCCAAGGTATTTTCGACAGAGCACTGAATACTCTCAGGCGCATCCCACAGAGCGAAGGGCAGCCGTCATCCGAGACAGCTCCAAGCAGTGCAGCACCTACAAGTCATGGGCAAAAACGTGCTACGTGCGAGGTGACTAGCTTTCATGAATCTCATATTGACAATACAGCGAGCTCTGCTGTGCACGCTGATTGGGATGCGCATTCATCTTGTGGAAGCCACCCTAGATGGCAACAACAACTGTACAGGCATCCGTCTCAGCCTACTACTACTACTGCAATGCGGTACCCCACCCTCGCGAGTGAGCTAGAGGAGGTAGCAGAACAAGCAGCAAGAGAAGCAGCATGCTTCCAAGCTTCTGCAGGAATCGGGAGATCCTCCCTTATAGAATCTGGTTCAGTAGAACCAGACACAGTGCGGAGGTTTTTGCTCTGGCATGGAAGGAAACCCCCTCAACCTGCTGCAAGAGCTCCTCCTCAGAGGGCTGAGCAACAGCTACAGCTGATTAAGGAGCAGCTGCTGGAACAGCATAGGCTTCTCTGCGCACGCAATGAACAGAAAGCGCAGAACCGTATACTTGCCACCTCGTCTCAGCATCGAAGTCTCGGGAGCATTATACATGGATCCGTGCCAGACACACATCATCTGCGACTTGAAGTGCAGCATGAACAGGAGCGCAGGCAACAAAAGCTCGATCTCAATGAACTGAAAGAAAATCTTGAACTGCAGCTCCTCACGTCGATTGCAGCAGAGGAGCACGCGCGTCTAGGTAGCGACAGGTTAGCGTGTGAAGGCGAAGTACAGCAACAACCGCCAACACCAACCTTTTCGGAGCGGCAGCGCGCCCAAACTCAACAGGCCATGCTTTCGGAACAGCTCCAACAACTTGCTTTACTTGGAAGCATAGATTCCCTCTTCGAGCGTCATGTCCCGGACTCCCCTCCCAACGGTAGTACTGGAAGCGAAGAGGATGGAGACTCTTTTGTATTGCCTTCTTCCTCCTCCTTGCAGCAGCATCAGAGGGGCAAAAATACACAAAGGGTGCGATCCCCGACTCTTAGTGACAAATGTGATAATTAATTGATGACGACTGGAGGCCTGGACCGTGACTGAACCGCCGTGAGGGAATGAGAGAATATCACAAAAGGGATATTCTAGTTTTGTGCTTGTGTAGAAATAGCAACGTAGTATGTTGCAGTGAAGGGGCTACACGTAGTCTTGCTTCACAGAGCATGATGGATCTCTGTGTTCCTGCTGGGGCTGGTTTTATTGGCTATGACGAAGTCGCCAGAGCATCGCAGCAGCATGGTTATTATTTGCATACCAGTACCAAAGAGAAGCTCTACTACAGCGAGTGTGACCATCTATGGATATCTCTGTACAGACATGAAAATTCACAGTGTTTTATCCAAATCTGTAGATATTTATACTGAAGAGGGTCTTTCCAAGCATATTTGTGGAATGAATTGATTAATAAGCTTCTCAAATGACCCACGTCTGAGTGTTTCTAGGGGAAAACCCGGCCCCTGGACAGATCCTTTGCCGTTGATGGTGGCGTCAAGCCTTTTCTGGACTCGTATTATATGTTACGTCCACTGCATATAGGGTAAAATGTATCATTAACGCAGATCAGAAAAACCTTTTTTAGTAAGCCAGCGGGCAGAATTATATTCGGTGTTCCGAGGATTGTGAACAATTTTGTCAAGACCCTGATGGACCATGCGCTGTGAGGTTCATGAAGGTAAATAAACAGCTTGGGGAATTCGTTCTCCTCATGGGAAGCAATATGTACACCCGTTTGTTATACCGGAGTCTTAAGCATGGAGTGCCTCAGAGGCCGCGCCCACGCAAAGGATTATCAGGCAGGGAAGCATTGACTGATTGTGCGTACTGCTTTCACTGGCTTTGCTAATGCACAGCACTCGTGTGGCAACCATGCCGAATTTCAGCGAGGCTGCTGAATGTACTGGCAGCTTAGCAGCTCCAACTACAACTCTTGAGGAACCAGTCCATCCTAAACCATCGAAACAGTGGATATCCGCAACGTTGTGACAGTTTAACAGCACACCGTGCTCTTCACACTTGAAAGTTGGATTGCCAACCGTTTCCTAGACGCTCATGAAATTCTTTGAAAGGCTTGTATGCGGTGCCTGTATGGGAAGCACAGGCCAGGGGGAGTGTGGTCCAGCAGCAGCAACAGCAAGCATTTGTAGGTGGTTGTGTTGAGTCAAACAACATTTATCGCCAACTTACATGTTCACTCCTCACGTTAATGTGAACACACCTTGCTACAAAAGTGCCGTGTTCAGTGAACATCGATGCATAAATAGATGCCATTTTCAGCAAAGTCACGAACAACCAAAAAATTGGAACAAAGATTACCCGAATGTGTGGTGATATTCTAGCATGCCTTTTATGATTGCAGCTACAAAATTGTAGTTTACGTCCAGCTCAATAGAAAAAATACAAGTACAAGCAAGGCGTGCTTGTTGTTCCAAGGTATTTGGTATAAACGAGGTAAAACACATTGTTCGCAACCCTCCTAGGAGCGCTGAGTGTGAGACATCTCTCTTCGCACGTTCGTCTCTGGCCATCATCTACTCACTAATGTCACAGTAGAAACCGGCGCACTCCCATCAGCACCGATTGGGAGACCAGCAAGCATAGTGGACGTGTCATACCACAAGCACGCACCTCGCCAAAGCCCAAGTATATCGCTTCATATTAGTTCTTCCGAGAAAAACGTTTATTCCCAGTCTCAACCCATACTCAATAAAAAATTGTCGAGTGGTTTGCAAAAGAACTCCCATCTTCCCATGTTCGCGCCTTTGATTTTTCCCCACATCACGGTACAGGGACAGCTGGTTTGCGCCTAGCTGCTTCCCCTAAGCAGTAGGAGCATTCACACCTGGTTTCACACCGCATCTAGCGCACACTGAGACAACACTGTGCCTTCTTGCATCGAGGCCCTACTACTCTGCACTAACAAAATCAAATGCACAGAGATATTAATTTATCAGTTCTCAGCTCATGCATAGTCATTTCTAGCTAGTGTAGCATGAAGTGTTCAAGTGTAGCACTGCCCGCTACTCGCAATAACTTATCTTCTCTTGCAGGCATTTAGTACACATGATCCCACAGGGTAGCGAATTGAAGTATGCACTCCTGATGACCTACATGTCACAGACCCGTGATAGACTTGTTAAAAGCACACAACATTTGTGGGGCTCTCTTACCAGCCCATCTACTGTAGTTGGCATTGTAATGTACAAAATGGGCCAGGCAACTTGAGGATAACCACATCTACAAACACTTAACCAGGCGCGAAGCGATAGTTGCTCGCTCTGTCAGCTGCTTAGTATGCGTTTTGCTGGGCTTAGTGAGGTGTTTACATTTTACGGACAGGGGACATCTTCCACTGACTAATACAGTGCAGTCACAAAGCATGTGCAGCATTGTCACACTATATCTCCACGCTACTAAATGTGAGGGCCTTAGCGGTGAGGTGCGAGCCTTCTTCTAGCATGTGGGTCGGCGTTAAACAGAGCCGCTATCGTTTCCATGGTTCGCCCAATGGTTGTTTAAATTTGGAAGCTGTAGCGAGCCACGCTACGTTCAACTACGTTTTACTAAACTAGTTGTAGTTACCTAAGCAATAGAAGGGAACTGACTGATTGGTTTGAATGTTCGTGTCGTGTATATGGGCATAGTACTCTTCCTTCGATACGAGAAGACCCAGCTTCACGTGCATCTGCGATAAGTGCTATGTGCAACTAGCTGTCAATGCCAGGATTGCCATGAGGGTGCACCTACGCACAATTCTAGGAGGCCCTCTCTGCCGATATCGAGAACGCTGAGGGACGTGGAACAAAAATTGGAATCCTTTAGGGCAACACCTAATGGTTTTCTATGTTGTTTGCATTGGATTTGGAGCTGCATGCCTTTCTGCCACACCTTAGCGGTCCCTCCCCCCTCAGCGAAAAATTTGAGGGGCTTGGGCAGGACATGAAAAGAACTCTTTCGAAAACACTCTTCAATTTTCTAGTCAGCGTGTAGAGAGTCTGGAGCTAAACATTTCCCTTCGTAAACCTTAAATGGAGCGTTTGAACTCAGCAAGAACTATGATGAACAAGAAAAAACCGGTTAGTCTAGTAATGGATAAATTTAGGGTATAACTAGTGGAGTAGAAAGTACTCAAGTGGAGTTTATCCACGAAAACATCAGCCATTGATTCTAACAGGTGATGAAAGCAAACCCAGTGAAGCAGATACGCGACAGGCACAGATGTAAGAGCGTACTATGCAAACTTCGAGCTGTCAAGAGCATCTGAGAATCAAAGTTCCGGTGCACGTGCCTATATATAATGCAGTAGAAGTGGATGATGGGTGGTAAGCTGCTTTAATGATCAGTTGCTGGAAACCACATCTTCCTTTAATAGAGGTGATGGCACTGATCCTCGCGTTCATGCGCTAATTTTCATGGTTCGCTTTTACTCCGTGTACGTTAACCGCCTTTTAGAGCATAGCTTAATGCTCCACAAACTTTCTGTATATCCAGCAGTATTGCCAGTATATCGTGCCACTGGGCACGTTGGTAGAATCTGATACCCTACTGCATACCAATTTGTTGCTTTCACAGCAGACCATCCCTTGGCATTACTCGGAGGCACTTTCCACTCTTGTTTTTACTTGTTAAGCTTGCAGATGATGCCAATTTTGGTAGAAACAATGTAAGAAAACCCGTGGAATATCTAAGTGCATCTTTCGAGACGAAGCCTGGACTTCTTGGTACGCGGCTTTGTGTGGCGCGTGGGCCAACAAGCTGGAAGAATTTCATCGTTGCACACGTATGTACAACTATCAGCCAGACAATGTTATTTTTTGTGTTTTAGCGCCAACATGGCACAATAATCTTCTATGAAAGTACTTGGCCCTCAGTAAGCTACCTAATTTGCATTTCTACACCAAAAGGATGCTCCTTAGATCTGGACGTGTCGCGCTGGCGGTTCAACCTCAAGGATCTACTGATCCCTTTGCTGAGGGAGCACAATTGCCTTAGAAGAAGATCTGTATTTCTGCCACACCAGAATTTTGTTCTTCTTTTTCCAGCGAGTCCGTTTTCAAGAAAGTCAGCTGCCTTGAACTCTCGCTGGTGCGCTGAATCACATGTTGACAGCACATCCCCATATCACACGACTTGTACGTCTACCCAACTGCCTCCATGCCTACATCCCGCACGGGCTCAAGTTCAATGTGGGCAATATGTCACATTTTCGTGCTGGCAGCTTTGCGTGGAGGAGCCTTCTGCTCCGCCGCAGCAACGATGACCAGCACCATAGCACGCTTTGATGCACAAGGGTATTCTTCAATTCTTGGTGGTTCCACACAAACCAGCCCTCAAGACTTTGAGAAGATAAGCAGAGTGATTTCAGGTCCTTCGCCCATGGGGGATTTCACGGAGTATGCTTACCTCAGGCACCCCCGCGTTTCTTCCTTATCTCACAGCGATGCTCCTCCTCACATTCCTGTTGAGGATGCCGGGGCTTCGCCCCATACCATAGTGCATATTGATGCTGATTCTTTGGCGAAGGGCCAACTTATGCCCTTGGATCTCCTGCGTGGCATTAAACGCCTTGTTGCGGGTTTGTTGTTATTCGTTGTGGCCGTTAGTATATTGGTGTGCTCTAATACGTCTCTGCACGTATGGCTGTTATGGCTGACTATGTTCTGACGAAGCAGTCGGAAACTCAAAGGGAATTAGCGTTTACGTTGGCGACGATGAGCACTGTGTTAATGCTCAGTGGATTGATACAGCTGGTCTCCTTTGCTGCTGAAGTCTACCGGGGGAATGCCCACAAGAGAAGGCTTCCTCACATAAATTGGTCCCTCCTTCTGTTAATATATATGCTGAGTCCATTCAGTTCGAGTATTGCTGAAGCTCAACCTACAGATGGCATCCGCTTGGGTCTTGGACTTGCCATTCTTTTCTTTTTCCTTGCCAGTGTCGTGGAAGTAATGGAATATAACAACAAGGCCAAGGCTTACAAAGGCGCACCAAAATGACTTAATGAGCTTTTACCT